TATGATTCTATGAATATATGTTTTAGCAATGTTGTAACCTGCCTCGAGCCGTGAGGAGAAGCGGGCAAGAAATAAAAATTATTATTGTTGTTATTATTATTTTACTGACACAGAAAAACAGTATGTCAAACAAGATATATGTGCTGGATTTTGTATCACAAWKATYAWWMTYATTAKTMKWATTATTATTATTATTATTATTATTATTAGGTTCTTGTGGGTTTTTTATTATTATTCTCCATGCCTACTCAAAAACAAATAATGCCCTCTTTGTCATGCAAAATCATTCAAGGTGTTCCGGCCTTACCAATATATGAGGACCACCTACGTATACACTTTMTGACTGCAAGATAGGAAATATGGTTTTCACTATGACTAAGGTTATGAGCAGGAGAGATTAAGTCACTGTTTCCTAAATATGACTCCAATGAAAGTCATTGGTCATTTTCCCATCATTCCCTCAACTTCCTCCCATCATTTTAGCTCTTCCACAAATAATTGGAAAATGAAACMAGCAAATATTATTAATCATYGAGAGTAAGGATTCTACCAGTTATATTATTTACAAAAGGAACCATTGTTATGCTCTTAATATGTTCTAACTCTCTCGATGTCACAGGAACAATTAATCCTCTATTACCACACTTTTTCAGCTGCTTTTAAAATATTCCAGTTTTTTTTCTCCCATTTTCCCATTTTGTCCTCAGCTTGCACTTGTTGTTGTGTATCAACTTATGGTGACCCTGAGGCAACCCTATCATGGAGTCTTTGGAGGCTGAGAGTATGTGATCCACAAAATGTTCCATGCTCAAACCACTACACCAGGGTTCCTCAAACTTTTTAAACAGAGGGCCAAGTCAAGTCAAAGTCCATCAAACTGTTGGAGGGCTGGATTATAATTTGAAAAAATATGAATGAATTCCTATGCACACTGCACATATCTTATGTGTAGTGTAAAAATTAAAATGAAGAACAATTTTAATAAATATAAAGTTATTAGTATTTCAATGGGAAGTGTTGGCCTGCCTTTGATTGATGAATAAGGGTTGTTGTTGTTGTTGTTGTTGTTGTTGTTGTGTGCTTTCAAGTCGTTTCAGACTTAGGTTGACCCTGAGCGAGGGCCGGTTAAATGACCTTGGAGGGCTGTATTCGGCCCCTGGGCTTTAGTTTGAGGACCCCTGCTCTACACCATGCTGACTCTCTCTCAATATGCATTTCTGCAAACTGACTTCAAAGTACAAAACTGGTTTTTGGACTTTGGTTCCCAGAAATCCTGTCACTTGCTCATGAGGAATGGGCCTTCTAAAAGCTAAGGTCCCAAACACCTTGAGGACCAAAGGTTGAGAACCACTAAAACACCTTCTACACTACCATATATAATCCAGATTATCTTCTTTGAACTGAATTATAAGGCAGTATAGCCTCAAGTAATCCAGTTCAAAGCAGATAATGTGCATTTCTGCTTTGACAATCAGGATTATATGGCAGTGTAGAAGGGGCCTCAGATAGACCAATAGTTTTATAGCTGGTGTACAAGCAGCATTCTGTATTTCTTTTGCACATTGGACAACTTTCCCATAATGTCCCTTACTGGAACACCATGAAAATGGGTCTCCGGGGCATAAGGACATCGCCAGTTTCTCAGGAATCCCAGTATTGGTGAAGGTGCTATTCTGATCCCAATTTTCATTCTCCAAAGCAGGGCCCTCCACAGCTATTGAAAATGACACTTCTCAGGGCAATGTGTGAAGCATCTTCTCGGGAGCAATATGAACACTTTCACACTACAGAGTTATAGCGCCATGATTCTACTTTAATGGCCACAGCTTCGTTCTGTGGAACATGGGACTTGCACTTTGGAGAAACACTGAAAAATCCCAAATGCCACTCCTTAAACCACAGATCTCAGAAATTCTATATAGTCATGATCAGTTAAAGTGGAATGATACTACTATGAGTATGTTAGTGTGAAAGGGTCCTTAGAGTTAAGAAAAAGCACAGGAAAGTGGGAATTTAAAAAAGCTTATGTAAATCTCAGCGACACAGATAATATTCTCCCACTCCAGGAATCTACAACGAGCTCATCTCCATTTTAAGAAGCTAAAGAGAAAACCAATCATCAAAGATATTTTTTACTATGCTTGTGATATGCCACTAGGTGGTAGCATTACCAATCATTTCATGAATAATCATGTTTGCATGTATGGGATGTCCTAAAGAGAGAGAAAAAAACCATGGTGCCAGATTTTGGACATTGAGCCCTGTGTCACAAAATGGGACCATTCCTAAATCTACCACAGATGCCATGCTATCCAAGTCAGAGCCTAGTAACAAGCAGAACAGAGATCTCTCATTTGTTTATGCTTTACTGTATTGTTGAAGGTTTTCATGGCCAGAATCACTGGGTTGTTGTAGGTTTTTCGGGCTGTATGGCCATTTTCTAGAATCATTCTCTTCAGATGTTTCACCTGCATCAATGGCAGGCATTCAAACCATATTTAATGGATGTGGATGCCTACCATAGATGCAGGCAAAACGTCAGGAGAGAATGCTTCTAGAACATGGCCATACAGCCTGAAAAACCTACAACAACCCAATGTTTATCATCATCATCATCATCATCATCATCATATTTAATTACTTATTAATCGTCCTCCATCCAAGAATGTAGGCGATTTACAGGTAAATTGTAAAAGATAAAATACATACAATTAAAAATTAACAGAGATCGAATGCTCTAGTAAAAAGCCAGGTCTTAAGTGCTAGAGTAAAAGGTCCTAAGTCATGCATGGCTCTCATATAGGGTGGCAAGGAATTCCATCAGGCAGGGGCAGAAATAGAAAAAGCCCTGCGTCTGGTCCTTTCCAAGTGCACTTCTCTAGGACCCGGTATATAGAGTAAGTCATGTTGGGCTGGTTGTTGCGACCTCCAATGATGGGAGAAGGAGAGGCGGTCCCTAAGGTACAATGGACCCTGGCCATAAAGAATTTTAAAGGTCAGAACTAACATCTTATACAGGCCACGGTACTCAATTGGTAGCCAATGTAAATGTTGCAGCACTGGTGTTATATGGCATTTCATGGGCGTTCTTGTGAGTAACCTGGCTGCCGCATTCTGAACAATACGGAGCTTTCATGTCATAGACATAGAAAGGCCCACATACAGGGCGTTGCAATAGTCCAGCCTAGACGTGACCGTGGCAAGGATGACAGTTGCCAGAGCCTCACCAGATAGGTAGGGTGCCAGTTGCCTTGCTTGTCGTAGATGGAAAAAGGCCTGTTTGCTGGCAGCAGCAACCTGAGCTTCCATTGTCAGCTGTGAATCCAGGACGACACCTAAGCTCTTAACAGTGGTCGATGGAGATAGGGCGGCACCATCGAAGGTGGGTAATGGAAGAGTAAGACCTGCCAGGCGGCCATGCCAGAGAATCTCAGTCTTCACCGGGTTCACCTTCAGTCTGCTAGCACGTAGCCAGTTCGACAGAGCTTCCAGACATCAGGTGAAATTGTCTGGAATTGACGTTGCTCAAGGAGTTGGGTATCATCCGCATATTGGTAGCAGTCCAGGCCGAAACTCCGAGCCAAACTAGCAAGGGGTCTAACATAGATGTTGAAGAGAAGAGGGGAGAGAACTGCACCTTGGGGGACCCCACATAGGAGGGGGGATCTATCGGAGACTTGATCCATGTACTCCATGCGTTGACTCTGGTTCCGGAGAAATGAGCTGAACCAATTAAGGGCCTGACCGCGAACTCCGGACATGGCAAGACGGTGAATCATTAGATCGCAGTCGACGGAGTCAAATGCTGCGGTAAGGTCGAGAAGTACCAATAACGCGGATCCACCGTTGTCAGACTGGCAACGGAGTTCATTCGTAATTGCAACCAGGACTGTCTCCGTCCCATGGCCCCAGCGAATGCTTTGCTATGATCAGTTGTATCCCTTTACCACCTTGGTACTGAATCCAGCAAACAGCACAACATATCTTAAGAGTAACTTGTATAAGAGGGAATGACTAAGACTGTGTAGTGAATTAATCAAAGCCTTATTGTAAGAGCAGATAAGGCAGTTCACTTTGCCTTCCCTCCTTTAGAAGCTATCACCAAGAAGGGTGAGTGGGTGGCAAATATACAAGTATGCAGTAGATTCTCCGTTAATTGGCATCCATGAAGATTGGTAAATGCCAGATAAATGCAGTTTCTGGTTGCTTGAGAGTTGCTATTAAATATAGGTCTGACACTATACCCTATGCTATACCTTAAACCAGTAGTTCCCAACCTTTGGGCCGCGAGACCTAAAATAAGGTCCATGGCTCTAGATTATTAAATATGGTTTTCTGTGGGCGAGCAGATGGCGACTAATGAATTGCATATGTTCTGTATCAGAAACTAGAGCTAATGTGGTCTATCCAATGCAATTTTCTGAATCAGGATCCCAAATAACCAAACTAAATCTAAAGTTGGCTAAAAACTGATTTGTAACCCTTTTGGTACCAATGTGGTCAATAGTCAAAGTGGTCCCTGGTCAAAAAAAGGTTGGGAACCACTGCCTTAAACTCAGTATTGACTTGATATTAATATTGAAATTAATTAATTAAGGGAAAATTAAGATAAAGACAAACTTAACTTTTATAATACTGTTTTACTGTATTATAAAAGTAGCTTTGTGAATACAATATGCTTTAGTTCTTTTATTTTTTTTCCTTTTTGCTGGTTGCTGGATTTCCACTTAATGGAGAGTCTGCTGTATTGGTTTCCAAAGGGCAGGGGTGAAGAAGAGGTGAAGTATGTGAAATCACAGTATTTATTGATTAACACTGCCAAGGGGAAGGGTGAGGTGGGAATGAGCTGATCTCACAGCCTACCAACAAAAGGGATTGCTAAAAGGTCAGCTTGAAGATATCATGCAAAATGAAGATAGATAGGTAATGAGCTAAAACAACTACAGTTATGAATGAACTGTGGTGGTCCTGGCTCTCTCCTTCCTTCCTTCCTCACTCACCTGGGAAGAGTGCTGAGCATCTCATGAGGATTTCCCATAACACCAGGGCCAGGGAGTAGACATCTGCCTGCCTCAGTGCTGAACCCAAGTCTTGCAGGTTCAGGCTTTCATCCAGAATTTCAGGCGCAATGTAGCGTGGGGCCCCTACCTGAAAAGAAGGTGGGTAAACAGATCACTATGCTTTTGGAGCATCTCTAACTAGAACAAGAAATAATTATGCTATATTTCAATGTGAAGTGTGGGCCTGCTTTTTGCTGATGAGATAGGATTGTTGTTGTTGTGTGCTTAGGTTGACCATGAGCGAGGGCCAGGTAAGTGACCTTGGAGGGCTGTATCTGGCCCACGGGCCTTAGTTTAAGGACCCCTGATGTAAAACTACAACTTCTATGATTCCTTAGCTATGGCAGTTAAAGTAGTATCAAATAGATTCTACAGTCTAGATGCATTCTTAGGCCCCCTCTTCACTGCCAACAAATCCAGTTTCTGAATCCACTACGTGGCAGTGTAGATCCAGTCTTAGTGCACATGTCCGGCTCCTTCTACTGATTCCCTAGCATCTGAGAATGGAGGAGCAGGAAACAGCAGTTCCCCACTCACCCCCTCCCCAGTCGACTATTGTTGAATGTGATACTACTTCTCTCCAAGATGGCTTTCCCATTCTGATCCCATCTTTGGTGGAGCACTGCAGGAGATACCTTGTGTACAATGCCTTCTGTGGGGCCTGCTGTGAACCGCTCGTTGGACACAGGCAACGTCATGGCATGGCCAAAATCAGTGATGACGCAAGTCCTGTCTTCTCTCACCAGCACATTCTGGCTGCTTAAGTCTCGATGTGCCACTCCAGGTTTATGTAATCCTAAAACCATTCAGAAAGGCTTTAGTGGCACCAGTGTCCAAGGGAATCATCAGATTAACCAAGTAAAATAATAAAAAATATGAGCAGTGTGAAGACCACGACGAGGTGAAGATGATGCATTGTTCAGTCTCAGGACATCTGCTTTGCATGAATAAGTTTCAAGACAGAGATTTCAAGATGACAGAACACAGGTATGAGGAACTGAGAAAGGCCTCTTTCTGCTAGGGACACCTGAAAGCTGTTGGTACCCAGAAGAACTGGAGGAAGAAAACCTGTAAGTATTTCGAAACCACTGTAACTGCCATGGCTCAATGCTAATGAACCCTGGGAGTTGTCATTTGTTGAGGCACCAACACTATTTGGCAGAAAAGGCTAAAGACCTTGTAAAATTGCAACTCCCATTATTCTATACCATTAAGCTATGGCAGTTAAAGTGGTGTCAGTCTGCATGAATTCCGCAGCGTAGATGCATCCTTAGAGGCTTCAGGCCCATTTGAGAGTAAATCCCACTGAAATCAAAACTTAATAAGAAACAGTGGAATTCCAAACAAGAATAATTCAGGGGCAGCTAACACCTCCCAACAAAGGATCTCCCCAAGCAGCAAGCAGCCAGGCTTTGAAGCTACAAGACCATTAAATGCTACATTCACACTTTCCTCAAGCAGACAAGCATTCTTTCTCCCACCCTGGACATTCCACAGATATATAAACACCACTTGCCTAGTTTCCAACAGACCTCGCAACCTCTGAGGATGCCTGCAATAGAAGTGGGCGAAACACCAGGAGATAATGCTTCTGGAACATGTCCACACAGCTCGGAAAACTCACAGCAACCTAGTGATTCCAGCCATGCAAGCATTTGGCAAGACAAAACGTAAGTATTTGCCCAAGTGTGTCAATTGCTCAATGTGAGAGTGATGAGGATTAACCCGAGTGAAACAGAGGACAAAATGAAAATGCATTTTGGAGCCCCCCTCCACACACACAGAGACTTATCAGGAGGATGGAGATAGAGAATAACCAAAGGGCACAAAAGATGACAAAAATCCATAGCATTGAGCCACAGCAGTTAAAGTGGTCTCAAATTGCATTAATTCTACAATGTGGATACATCCCTTGTGAGATTCTCTACTCTATACAGCTACTAAAGGTATAGTATCCCTGTCTTATTATTTGCATGGCAACCCTACCTCTTCCAGAATCGATACTAATGGTAGGTCAAATGTGGCCCACAGGACACATATGGCCCATCAAAACTAGTTCTATGACCCTTTGCCCTCCTAAGGGTTCCTTTTTTTAGTTGGCCCTACAGAAGGTATGAATGGCCTTTCCTCAAAACCTCCAGAATTGACTATCTACCTTATATATGTATATGGTATTAAGGGTGGGAATGGGCAGCACAGTTACCATATATACTCGAGTATAAGTCGACCCAAATATAAGCTGAGGCACCCAATTTTACCACAGAAAAAACTGGGGAAACATACTGAATTGAGTATAAGCCGAGAGTGGGAAATGCAGCAGGTAATGATATATTTCAAAATAAAAATAGATACCAATAAAATTACATTAATTGAGGCATCAATAGGTTAAATGATTTTTGAATATTTACATAAAACTGTAATTTAAGATAAGACTGTCCAACTCTGATTAAATCATTATTCTAACCTTCTTCAATGTGAATATATCCTTCCAATAATAATAAAGTAAAACAATAAATGTAATAATAATAATAATAATAATAATAATAATAGAGTAAAATAATGGAAATGTATTACTAACAGTAATAATGGAATAAAATAATAAATGTAATAATAACAATAATGAATAGAGTAAAATAATAAATGTAATAATAGGGAAAATAATATATGTAATAATAATAATAAATAGAGTAAAAATAATAAATGTAATTAAAATAATAATAATAACAGGGTAAAATAATAAATAACTTTGAGTTGAGTATAAGCCGAGGGGGACTTTTTCACCCCAAAAAAGGGCTGACTAATATTAAAATAATAAAAACTTGGCTTATACTCAAGTATATATAGTACCAGGGGCGGCTCGTCCATTACGTGAAGTAAGCGGTCACAGAACACTTTTTTTTGCCAGGGGCGCAGAGGCGCCTCTGTAAATGCCCCTCAACTGCCACTTGAGGAGCGCCCCCTCAGCTCACAACAGCCCTAGCAGTCCGGGGGGAGCCTCGGCTTTCTTGCCTCGCTGCCGGGCGATCCTCTTCCCAAAGGAGCCGGGCCCTTGAGCCTCGCCTAGCCCCTCTCGTTCCTGCTCCACCCGGCCACCGGGTGTGCTAAGCAGAGCCGGCGCTCAATCGTTCTCTGTGTTCGATCCCTTCCCCATGACCAGCTCCCTTTCCTGATCCCCCGGCGCTCCACCCACCTCCTCTCATCTCCGCCGCGGCTGGCCCTCTTTGGGTCCGGAGATGTGTCTGAAGACCCCAGCGTGCGCACCAAAAGTCACCTCTTCTCCTGACTTTCTCTTCAGCCATTGGGACCAAAGAGAGAGAGAGAGAGAGCCCCTTCGGCTGGAGGTATCTCCCACCTCGGCTCCCTCCTTTGTTTTTGCGCCTACCTTCAGGAAAGGTGGGCATCTCCACCTCTGTCTCTCTCTCTCCCTCTTGGTCCCAATGGCTGAGGAGAAAGTCAGGAGAAGAGGTGACTTTTGGTGCACACGCCGGGGTCTGCAGGCACGCCTCCGGACCCAAAGCGGGCCAGGCAAGGGAGCAAGTGCGGCAAGTGTAGTTACTGGGATGTATAGTTCACCTACAATCAAAGAGCATTCTGAACTCCACCAATGATGGAATTGAACCAAATATGGCACACAGAACTCCCACGATGAACAGAAAATATATATCAATGATTGGTTGGAGGGGGGGGCAAAATACTGTTTGCTTACTGTTGAAAATTACCTAGGGCCGTCTCTATATAGTACTTTTAAAACTTTTTCAAACTCAGGACTTTAGACACTTCGATTTGCTTTCCCCATTTGAGGGAGGTATAAAAAATCACACACAGCCAGACCCACTTTTGACTCCATATTTTGCACCTTAAAATCAATAACATTGCATTTCAGCATTGCAGTAAGGGGGAGTTGTAGTTTTACAAGGCCCTTTGGATGGATGGCTATGGTCGTTCATCTTTAAGTGGTTTTCTGAAGCTAATGCCTGATTCAGGAAAAGGCCATAACATAGACTTTGCAGGAATTGACACCACTACACTTAACGCACGCAGAATTGCATAGCTGTGGCACATTTCAAACACACACATATACCTCTTTGCAACAACAACAAAAAACCCGTCTATGGCATGTTAAAGACTTAACAATCCATCACGGCATGAAATCCTCACTTAGCTCTCACCTATAAATATATCGTGAGAAAAGAAGAAAAATATGTTTTGTACGGACAGCAAAAAAGAGGCAAAAGGCTTGTTGATGTAAGAACTGGCAGCAGTAGCTGTGTGATTGTACTGTTCAGGAAATAAAAGGATACACAATTCAGCGGAAGAAACCCAAGATCCAATTAGTGTGGGTGAAAACCTACATAGAGAAAACTATTTCATTGGACAAGCGGGTTAGGAGGAAAAACTCTTTTGCCCCCAAGGCACGCTAACCATTTCTAAATGATCACTCGCAGATTTTGACAGCAGAGAATATTCAGAAATGAGTTTTGAACAAGCTGTACTTTATATTTCTTTTCTGGGTCCAAAGTCATTCAACGTGTCCTATTTTGTAACAAAAAGAAAAAGAATGCAGACAGATTCTCATGTTCCCCTTGGGATGTGTGGCACTTTAAAGAACTGGCAAAAATTTGCAAAGACTGTCGTTCAATTTATCACCAGTATATATTATCTCAGTTCCAAATTATTTCTCATGCTTGAATTGTTGGAAATAGAAACTTTGATTATAAGAAAGATGCCCTGTGTTATCTGCTCAGAAAAACTACTTCATGTGGCTACCAGTATTAAAAAAAACCCCTCTAAAATCAGGACAGTAAATAAAAAGCAACGCTCAAAAAGCAGGGGAATTTAGATAAGAATCAATCAGGGCCAGCTGACACCTCCCAACAAAGGATTCCTCCAGCCCTCATCCACCTAGGCTTCGAAGCTGCCAGGCAATTAAATGCTAATCAAGCTGGCCATCTGCAACATTCACACTTGCCTCAAACAGACAAGAATACTTTCTCCCACCTGGGCATTCCACAGATATATAAATCTCACCCATCAATCTCTGAGGATGCCTGCCATAGATGTGGGTGAAATGTCAGGAGAGAATGCTTTTGGAACATGGTCATACAGCCCGGAAAACTCACAGCAACCCACTACTTCAAATCCTATCTGTAACTGGATTGATAAGCAATATACCTGTATGCTGAATACATTAAGTTTGTAAGTAAACCAACTGTGTTACTTTTACCAAAGACTATTTTATTTTTGTCTCTTGAGAGCATGATTTAAAACCAAATATATTTTATGGGAGAGTAGGTGTTTTTGAGCACTGAAAGAAACACTTCTGAAACTCTGCTTGTTTTGTACATTGGCATATCTTTGTTACTAACAGTTCAAAGAGATATCCAGGTATATTAGTCTAACAGCTGAGAAACCTAATTGCATAAATACTAGTGGATATATACCACTAAAGAGAAAATTCACTCAAATGATTTTTTTGCTCTTCTCTGGAAGTCATACCTTTCCAAAAGATTATGTGTCCATAATGAATGAGAATTGGGGGATTGTGTCAGTGGCATTTTAAGGAATTTAAATCCAAATTTACAGACAGGAATTATTACTGGGTGACAACCAAGCTGGGTCTTCGTTCGTATTCATCAAGAGGTTCAAGTCTGTCTCCTGTGAACAAAGACCTTTTCACACATCACTTTGCATTGATATTAATCAGCTAATCAATGCAAAAAATCTTGGCATATATAATACAATCTGTCATCCAATGACTTGTTGGATCTTACCTGCTTTCCACTGCTGCCCATGCAAGAAAGCAAGGCCGCTGGCAAGGGAAGATCCTAGCCGGATAGTAATTTCCCAAGAACAAATATGCTGGCTGAGGAAATTTCGCAGGGATCCCTGCAAAGATAATGTCACAATAACAATAACAACATCACCATCCACAACAACAACTTTTCATTTATACCCTGCCTATTTCCCAATCATGGGACTCAGCTTGGTGTAGGCTATGAGGAAAATGAGCCAGGGATGGTTGTCAAACTCATTCATCATTTGATGACTGCAATATTAATTGGATTTCCATGTGTGAATCAGATTTCACAGCGCAAAGAAGACTGGACCAGATCTTGTTGTTGCCACTTGTTCTTCCTTTCATTTCTGAAATTGTATCAGAAACTGCTGGTATATTTTTAGGGCCTCAAAGCTTGTCCATTTTTAAAGAGCAAATGAGAATGTTGGACAGTGAAATCTGTTAAGAGAGTTTCAAATTCCAAGTGTGTTGTTGTTGTTCATTCGTTCAGTCGTCTCCGACTCTTCGGAGCCCACGCCAGAGCTCCCTGTCGGCCGTCACCACCCCCAGCTCCTTCAAGGTCAGTCCAGTCACTTCAAGGATGCCATCCATCCATCTTGCCCTTGGTCGGCCCCTCTTCCTTTTGCCTTCCATTCCCCAGCATAATTGTCTTCTCTAGGCTTTCCTCTCTCCTCATGATGTGGCCAAAGTACTTCAACTTTGTCTCTAGTATCTTTCCCTCCAATGAGCAGTCGGGCTTTATTTCCTGGAGGATGGACTGGTTGGATCTTCTCGCAGTCCAAGGCACTCTCAGAACTTTCCTCCAACACCACAGCTCAAAAGCATCGATCTTCCTTCGCTCAGCCTTCCCTAAGGTCCAGCTCTCACATCCGTAGGTTACTCCAGGGAATACCATGGCTTTGACTAGGCGGATCTTTGTTGCCAGTCTGATGTCTCTACTCTTTCCTATTTTATCGAGACTGGACATTGCTCTCCTCCCAAGAAGTAAGCGTCTTCTGATTTCCTGGCCACAGTCTGCATCTGCAGTAATCTTTGCACCTAGAAATACAAAGTCTGTCACGGCCTCCACATTTTCTCCCTCTATTTTCCATTAATCATTCTTGTTGCCATAATCTTGTTTTTTGATGTTTAGCTGCAACCCAGCTTTTGCGCTTTCTTCTTTCACCTTGATTAGAAGGCTCCTCAGCTCCTCCTCGCTTTCGGCCATCAGAGTGGTGTCATCTGCATATCTGATGTTGTTAATGTTTCTTCCAGCAATTTTCACCCCAGCTTTGCATTCATCAAGCCCCGCACATCGCATGATGTGTTCTGCATACAAGTTAAAAAGGTTGGGTGAGAGTATGCAGCCTTGCCGTACGCCTTTCCCAATCTTGAACACTTGAATTCCAAGTGTACCTGACAAAAAATCAGCCTTGACTGTGGAAATAGTGCAACATGGGCATTACAGGTTGAGAAACCTTTATCTGAAATGCTTGAGACCTGTATTTCTTCAAATTTTGAATTTTTGAGGGAGGAATACCAGTATTTGCAAGTAGCTGGGAAGGAAGGAAACTCTCACCCCATGTCTTTTTCATTCTCTCTCAGCTGAGTACAGGTGACTACCAATGGGGTCATTTTATGATCAACATTGTGGCCTGTTTCCAGACCACTCACATCCCAACGTGCCACAATTAGTTAATGGCAGGCAAGTGTAGAAATGTCTTTTTACAGGAGTCTTGTGTGAGTGGAACTGCAAGATCCAGAGTCCTCCCTTTCCTTACTCTTCTCTTTCCCCATCAGGGCTCCTTGATTGAAAACTCAGTGGGCACTGGATGTGTAACTGGCCCTCTTTCTCCAAAGACAGACATGGGCAACTGATGGCAAAAGATTTCAGTTTTTGGAGTATTTTGGATTCCCAGATAAGGAAGTGACATCCTTCAGCCCGCCCCCACCCCCCGAAATTCTCAGGGTGGTCCGCGAGAAGGTCTTACGGGTACATTATTTAAACTGTTATGTTCATATCATGATCTGATCACCATGCTCAATATATCCCATATACATGGGGGGTATTGGGATAATGATACAAAAGGTTTGCTAGGGTAGATCCTCAGCCCCCCCCCCCCGAATCAAACTCAGCCCCCACCTCCCCGAATCAAACTCAGCACCCCCCGAATCAAAATCCTGGCTACGGGCCTGCCCACATGTTAAAAAATTGCTAACTGTGCACAAATTAAACAATTTTGCCACCCTTGTGTGTGGCTCTCACCAATGGGTACAGGGACAGCACCAGGAGACCACCATGTTCCTTGTTTGGTTCCCCATACCCAGCAGCCACTAGTCGTACCACGTTGTCATGGTTCATCAGTGGAAGGCTGTGCATGGCCCACTCAGACATAAACTGCCGACGGCACAGAGGGGAAAAGGCTTTGATGGCTACGGGCTGCTGGTGGAACGATCCTTGCCACAGTCTGGAGAACTGTCCCTCATGCAGAACCTGAAGGGAAAGAGTTATGAGAAAGATTATAAGCCCCTCCTTATTTAGAGTTCAACTATACTGTGGAATTAATGCATTTTGATATCACTTTAACTGCAATAGCTCAGTGCCATGGAATCCTGCATATTGTCATTTTTAAAAGTCTTTTTTCTGCCAAAGAGTTCTGGTGCCTCACCAAACTACAGATCCCTGGATAGCATAGCATTAAGCCATGGCAGTTAAAGTTGTGTCAAACTGCATTAATTCTATAGCATAGAAGCACCTTTAGAGCAAAGTATGAGTGCTAGATTCTACTATTCCTTTACACTGTAAAAGCATAAATAGCTGTTAGTGAGGGAGGATTTTTAAAATTCTGTACCCATGTGGCATGCCATCTACAAACTGCATGTGTCTATTCCCTGTGGAATGTGAAAAGAGGGTTGAATTTCAAGCTAGGTTTTTCTGCTCATTTTTTAGTAAAATCATAGAAGACAGTGGGGAACTGGCTTCCTAAAAAAGGACTGGAAAATCGTTGTCCTCCTCAGATGTTTTGGTCTACAATTTCAGAATGGTCAATGATAAAAGATTATGGGAGTAATAAGACAGAATGTCTGCAAGACCAAATGTTTTCTAGACTTGCCTGTTGAGCAGTGTTTCTCAACCTGAGGGTCAGGACCCTTGGGGGACTGTGAGGGGGTGTCAGAGGGGTAGCCAAAGACCATCAGAAAACACAGTATTTTCTGTTGGTCATGGGGGTTCTGTGTGGGAAGTTTGGCCCAATTCTATCACTGGTGGAGTTCAGAATGTGCTTTGATTTTAGGTCAACTATAAATCCCAGTAACTACAACTCCCAAACGCCAAGTTCTATTTTCCCCAAACTCCACCAGTGTTCACATTTGGGAACATTGGGTATTCGTGCCAAGTTTGGTCCAGATCCATCATTGTTTGAGTCCACAGTGCTCTCTGGAAGTAGTTGAACTACAACTTCAAAACTCAAGGTCAGTGCCCACCAAACCCTTCCAGTATTTTCTGTTGGTCATGAGAGTTCTGTGTGCCAAGTTTGGTTCTATTCCATCTTTGGTGAAGTTCAGAATGCTCTTTGATTGTCGGTGAACTAGAAATCCCAGCAACTACAACTCCAAATGACAAAATCAATCTTCCCCCATCCCATCTGTATTCGAATGTGGGCATATCGGGTATTTGTGCCAAATTTGGTCCAGTGAATGAAAATACATCCTGTGTATCAGATATTTACATGACTATTCATAACAGTAGCAAAATTACAGTAACGAAGTAGCAATGAAAATAATTTTATGGTTGAGGGTCACCACAACATGAGGAAATGTATTAAGGGTTTGTGGCATTAGGAAGGTTGAGAACTACTAACATAGTGGCTCCAGATCTTGGAAATGTTCATTTTTGGGACCCTGCGAGTGGCCGTGTTGGCAGAAGAGATTCAGAGAGTTACAATCCAAAAACACCTGTGCTTTCCAAGCTCTGAAGTCCATATCACTGGACCACTTGCTACTAAGGATGAAGAGGGGAATTCTTTGCTACTGTACAAGCATCCTGGTTCAAATGACCTACATTTTTGATAGTGCTCTACCAACACTAGAGGAGATACCTGACACATACAGCTTCTAGTTGGAGTTTTGACACTGCTGAGATAGAGAATAAAGCAAGCTATGGTGTCTTTCAATGAAGCCACAATCCTTCCCATGACCAGAATGGTACCCGAATGAACTGTAGGTCTGTAAGCTCTTGTTTGGGCAGTTTCCTCTTCTCCTTGTGATCCGGGCCTGTGTCAGTGACGTTGGCAAGCTCCACAGTTGCTTCTGTGCAAAATAACTCTGCAGGGACTTTCCAGTACCTGAGAACGCCAACACCTTAGGAGAGAACAAAGGAGATTCTCTCTTGCAACAACACAACTGTTCCAATGTATGTGCCAAATCTTACATTCTTTACCCATTAGGCAAATGTACATTTATTTTCAAAATGCATTCTGCGAATGTTGGAGAGCATCAAGGTATAAGGCAGTGGTTGTTAACCTGTGGGCCACAGACCACCAGTGGGCCGTGAGGACAAAAATCTGTTCTATGAGCCTCCTTCCTCTTTATTTATTTTATTTATTTTATTTTATTTCCGCTTCTTTTGCGCTGCTTGCCACTCATTTCCTGTCGCTGACTATGGCATATGTTCTGTATCAGAAACTAGAGCCGATGTGGTCTACCCAATGCAACTTTCTGAATCAGCACCCCAAACTGAATCTAAAGATGACTAAAAACCGATTCGTAACCCTTTTGGTAATAATGTTGGAGAGTGGTCGAAATGTTCCCTGGTCAAAGTACTCCCTGACCAAGTGGTCCCTGATCAAAGTAGTCCCTGGTCAAACTGGCCCCTGGTCATGTGGTTCCTAGTCAAAGTGGTCCCTGGTCAAGTGGTCCTTAGTCAAATGGTCCCTGATCAAAGTAGTCCCTGGTCACAGTGGTCCCTGATCAAAGTGGTCCCTGATCAAAAAAGTTTGGGAACTACTGGTATAAAAGAAGATCTAAAAACCTTACTTTCCCCCCACTACCACACACATCACAGTTTGCTCAACCTCCGTTTTAAAGCTCTATGATCTAATAACTTACGCCTTTTTATTTTAAAAGAAGGTAGAAAGGAGCCCTCAACCTGATTTCTGTGATTATTACATAGTTTCCAACCTATCATCCTTCAGAAATGTTGGACCTACAAACCCCGAGGATGGTAGAAAATGATAGATAAGCTTGCTGGGTGGAATTTCACATAAACTCTAGGTTGTGTCACCAGAACAGCATATATTTGTCCCTTTTATTCTAGAGGCAGAGTCATGACTTGTGGGTGCTGAATCAGATATTTGCTTTCTGGAAACAGAAGTATGCACACACATCATGCAGTCTCTGGTACAACAGCAGCACAGCATGGGAGAACCATTTCTGGAAGCATCTGAGCCTCACAATTTGACAACCAGCTATATGCATGTTAATGTGTTTGTGTATTTTAAGCTCCAGAGTTCAGAGGCTGAGGCTATGCCAGACTTCCCCAGCAGATGCTTCTCCCCAGGCGTGTTCCCTTTCATGCCATTATCATTCTTGTCCACTTCCTGCAAACCTGTTCTACCCACCAGGCATCACCAGAAGGCAAGTCCAGTACAGCTCAATGCTCATAGCTTTGTTGTAGGGGCAAGGAGAGGGAAACCAATGAGCTCTGAATATTACCAGTAGGAACTTAGTTGAGATGTGATTTTGGTGGGTCATCAGCAATGCTGACTCTTGGGCATATGGGCTTGCCATGTGAGGCAAACACAGAATTGCCAATATGTAAGAAACACAGAATTGCCATTATCAGTCTTTCATCACCAGAAATCCCACAGAGGCAAACATAGAGCAAGTTATTGTCCAGCCAAGGCTTACTCTAAATACCTCACCCAAATTTCCCCCAAAGTCACAGTACCTACAAACACCAGACATCCCAGGAAGGACAGAGAAAGAACAGCTGCGATGATCCAGAGGGTCTTGGAACCAAGCCGAGACGCAGCTGCAAAGATAAGATGAGGAGGTCACCGTGTGAAGGAAGATTTGCTACAACCCGTTCTATATTTCACAGGGGGGAATAATCTCTTGTAACCCATTTCTCATGAAGGAGCTGTGCGCACTCTCAACCTCCTTGGCTCAAAGCCTTGGGCAACCTTCCCGCGGCCACTCCTCTGTAGCTCCAGGTGCTCTGACGTGGTCCTTCTCCGAGACTTCTCTACCCATCCCTAGCATCTGCTCCCTTCGGACTTCTTTCTGATGTTTTAATTAAAATTAAAGGAGGGGAAAGGATCTGCCTACTCCTTCTCATCTCCGTAGCCAACATTCCTGTCTCCTCCCATTGCTTTCCAACATTTGAAGGCCACACTGTGGCATTACAATGATGCGGTGAATCTGTGTGTGTGCACGCATGCATTGGGAGCATTTGAGAGCTGGCAGGCAATGCTCCCCTGGACTGACAGAGAGGGATCCTATAGAAAATGTCTGCCTCTGAAGATGCCATCACAGGTGCAGGTGAAACATCAGGAAAAAATGCTGCTAGAACACGACCATACAGCTCAGAAACACAACACCCCAGTGATTCTGGCCATGAGAGCCTTCGACAACACTGATCTCCTATAATTTAAGGCAGTGGTTCTCAACCTGTGGGTCCCCAGGTGTTTTGGCCTACAACTCCCAGAAATCCCAGCCAGTTTACCAGCTCTTAGGATATCTGAGAGTTGAAGGCAAAAACATCTGGGGACCCACAGGTTGAGAACCACTGATTTAAGGGCTGGGTAGAAGAAGGAATTGCAGCTGATGTTGGTGGTCACACAACAAGGAACCAATTCAATTATTATAATGCTATTATTCCCCTTTAACTGCCATAATTCCAGCATATAACATATTGGGAATTTCTGTTTAGTGAGTCATGGAAACATTCTGGCTGAGAACTCAAAATGCTGCTCCCTAAACTGGCAATCCTATAATTCCATGGTACAGATCTATGTCCATATGAATAGAATAATAAGAGGGTTGCTGTGAGTTTTCCGGGCTATATGGCCATGTTCCAGAAGCATTCTCTCCTGACATTTCACCCTCATCTACGGCAGGCATCCTCAGAGGTTGTGAGGTTTGTTGGAAACTGGACAAGTGAGATTTATATATCTGTGGAATGCCCAGTGTGGGAGAAAGAACTCTTGTCTGAGACAGGTGTGAATGTTGCAATTGGCCACCTTGATTAGCATTGAATGGCCTTGCAGCTTCAAGGTCTAGCTGCTTACTGCTAGTTGGGAGCTGTTAGCAGGCCTTGATTGTTTCTTGCCTGGATTTCCCTTGTTTTTGAGTGTTGTTCATTTTAATGGTTTCCTTCTTTCTGTTAAAACTGTCCACATGCTTATTGATTTCAATGGCTTCGCTGTGTAGTCTGACATGGTGGTTGTTAGAATGGTCCAGCATTTCTGTGTTCTCCAATAATATGCTGGCTACCAGTATTTAAAAAAAACTAATCCCAGGATTTCATAGCAGTGAGCAGTTAAAGGGGAAATCAAACTGCATTATTTCTACAGTGTAGATACATTGTGTGAGTGGGTTTTAAATTTTTATTTTGCCTCACTGGGTCTAAATTTAGGTGTTAAAGTTCTCAGGATAAGCACTGCATTTAGCTCACCATATATATATATATGGTGGGAGCTGTTAGCAGGCCTTGATTGTTTCTTTCCTGGAATTTGAGTGTTGTTTTTGAGTGTTGTTCATTTTCTCTCATATATATACATATATATATATATATATAAATCACACAGTCCAACAAAAATATTATTTGTGTCTTGATTTTTAGGCTTGTTCCTGGGATTATTTAGGGCACTGATTCAGAACATATCATTGGATAGACTGCATCCACTCTAGTTTCTTAGATATGAGTGGAATGACTGGAAAGTTTGTATCGTAAATCTGTGCTTTTGGTATGAAATAAGTTTTCATACCAAAACTTACTACTTTCATGTAGTACAGTTTTTTCTTTCAATTTTTAATATGTTTCTTTCAGGCTTAAAATGTCAATGTATTCTCTACTTTAAAATATCCTGTTTTTTCCATGCTTGAGCAGAGTGAAATGTGGCATATGCCATATGTTCTGTATCTCAAAAACTAAAGCTCATAGGGGAAAACTGGTGCCATTTTTTTTTAATCAGCAGGTCAAATATACCCAGAAACAGGCTTAATATTTGAGGCACCAAAATGTGTCTTGCCAGTGTAACAAATTAATACAGCCTGGACTGTAATCTTTGCAAGTTCCAAAAATCAAGTTTGACCTTCAGCTCGGCAATTTAAAAGCCCAGTTTATCAGTGCCTTCTCTACTTCACACGGGAAAAAGATATTCCTTGAGAAGGGGAAATAATACCTCACTCTCTAGTTTCTTCAAAGGGAAAACAGCACTAGATTTCTGTATACTATTCGTTCTTAAAGAAGCCTTTGGGATTGGACAACTGATTCCAATCCACATTTAGCCATGCAACTCTTGGTCCAGTTACTATTTCTCAGTTTAAATTACCTTCCTCAAAAAGTAAATATCATCCCAATTTCCTTTTCGAAAGTGGAATAAGAAAAGAAGAAAAAAAAACATGGGGATGAGCACAGTCCTTATCTTAAACATTCTGCTCTTTTGTGTACATTGCTTTAGAAAAAGCTCAGGATACAACATAACTGTGTCTATACAGCGTTTTTAGTTTTTGAAGGTCTAACCCAGGCATGGGCTAACTTTGGCCCTCCAGGTGTTTGGGACTTCAACTTCCACAATTCCTAAACACCTGGAGGGCTGAAGTTTGCCCATACCTGGGCTAGCCTAAAAAAGTGCAGTGTTTCAGTGACACACACCTCCCAGATGACTGTATGGTACTAATATTTGCAAAAAAACTTTTATCATGTTATTTTGTCATTATTATAGGTGTAAATCTAAAAATGGTGTGTGTGTGTGTGTGTGTGTGAAGTGATAATAGGGTACTGCTTTTGCTCAATTATGGCTACCAAAGTATAGCATGGGGATCCCAGATCTTGGAACCAGATATATAGATCCACAAAGGTACTCTATTGTCCTGTGGTTTTTATGCTAGTTATATGTTGTTGATTGGGTTTTGGTTAGGGTTAGTAACACATTGTATTTTGCTGTTATTTTTGTGTAAACCACTTTGAGTCCTCCTAGAAGTGAGAAAAGCGGTATATAAATACTGTAAATAAATAAATAAACGAAGCCCCCTGATTTCAACATAGAATCACAGAGTTGGAAGAGACCCCAAGAGTCATCCCGTCCAACCTAATCTGCAATACAGTTCAACGCAATCAAACAACTCCCAACAAATGGTCATCTGGCCTCTGTTTAAAAGCCTTTAGAGAAGGAGGCTCTAAGCTTTGAATTTGCACATTAGTCCCTGTTGGGAGGCTGGATTTGTAGGACAAATGGAAAATTGGTTGCTGTGAGTTTTCCGGGCTGTATGGCCATGTTCCAAAAGCATTCTCTCCTGATGTTTTGCCCACATCTATGGCAGGCCTCCTCAGAGGTTGTGAGGTCTGTTGGAAAGTAGGCAAGTGGGGTTTATATATCTGTGAAATGTCCAGGTTGGGAGAAAGAACTCTTGTTTATTTGAGGGAAGTGTGAATGTTGCACTTGACTGCCTTGATTAGCATTTAATGGCCTTGCAGCTTCAAAGCCTGGCTTTGATGTTCTGGTCCCGAGATCTGCTAGTTTTGGTGAGAGGAGGCAACTACTCCTTCTCTATGTGTGGTTATCAGGCTGACTCAGAGATAGTGTGTTTCATCGCATCTCTGCTCTCTCAAGGTCACTGCAGAAGGACTAGATGGCCTTCATGTGCTTTGCCTCCCTCTTGCAAAGGCAACACACCTGTGGATGGCATGTAGGAAGAAAGACCCAAAGGCTCTCCCATGAGTTCTGGAGAGGCTGGACAGAGAAATCAACTAGTTAAAGAGAAAGAAATGATGTGTGAAAAAGCTTTCTTTTATCTCCTTAGCTCCCTCTACCCAACCACCTTCCCTACTCCCTTCAGCTCCAACAAATATGAGTAACAGCTGCAGTTTGCAGGAATCAAAGTGTGCACCTATGTTATTGAATTAATGCTGTTTGAAATACTTTAACCACCATGACTCAAGGATATGGAATCAAGAGAGTTGTAGTTTTACAAGACTTTGGTCTTCTCTTCCAAAGAAAGCTTGGTGCCTCCCCAAACGATGATTCCAAAGTATTGAGCCATGATGGTTGAAACGATCACTCACAAATGGAAATACCTAGGAAGCACTTAGTTCCCTGCCCTTGGTTGTTTGAGTAGACAGGGAATATGGAGACTTCCAGCTATTTAACTCCAGCTCTCACTGGCCCCAGTGGCGTAATGGGTTAAACCCTTATGCCGGCAGGACTAAAGACCAACAGGCCAGAGGTTCAAATCTGGGGAGAGTGCAGATGAGCTCTCTCTGTAAGCCCCAGCTTCCCATGCAGGGACATGAGAGAAGCCTCCCACAAGGATGGTAAAACATCAAAACATCCGGCCAATTATCTCACACCAGAAGCGACTTGCAATTTCTCAAGTCGCTCCTTACATGAACAACAACAAAAAATGGTGCCAGCCAATTAAGCCAATGGTTAATTAAGAGTGCTGGGCCCTGCAGTCAAAAAGATCCAAGAGGACTGGTTCCCCATCGCTGGGTCCCTTTGTTGCTGCCCTGCTATTCTACCCTGTGTATATCTCCAGTTCTTCAACTCCAGCTTCCACTTGCCTCAAACAGCAAAGCCAGTGGTTAGGAGTGATGGATCCTGCAGTCAAACAAGATCTAAGACCTTCCACTGACCCCAGACCACGCAGGCCTCTTACCCTGCCTCTCTCCGGGCTCAACATAGCTGATATTAGCATTACACAGATCCGAACGGCACCTACAGGACAGCAAGCCAGCAGCGGACCGGAACTCGCAATTTGGAGAATCACAGCTGTCCTCTTCGCTCATCCAGCAACCTAGAAGGAGGAAAGTGGGGGACAGAGAGAGTAGGGAAAAACAGAGAAATAAGGGGTCTCCATCATCTCAAAAAGGAGACTTTCTCTTGTAAGGGGAAAAAGTAATCTAGGCTTCAAAGAAGGACCACTTTATGTGTCAGTGTTATTTCTAACATTATCAATATTGCTGGCTTCAGCACTATTATTATTATTATTATTATTATTATCATAATTATAATCATTCATTCATTCATTCATTCATTCAGGCCATAGGTTTTTGGTTTTTTTTTAGCCTAGGGTTACCTGAGTCTCAGAGCCTGGCCCCAATTCTCCAATCATTAGGACAAAAGGAAGGAAACACAGTGTGAGGGTGCTGCCTTAAAAACAGCGTCTCTTTGCATTTCCTTCTGGGTGTATTTTCCGACTAGTGTATTCTGCAGTGCTGTACCATGCTTGGTAATATTATTAGGGGTTGCCCTTTCCAACAGGCTCATTCCGAGCATTGCTATGGTCCACCTTCTGTGACACTGTCCTGCATGGCAAAAATCACAAGGGGTTTTATCTAGGTCTCAGATTTTAGATCTGAAATCTCAGAACACAAGCATGCATCTGCATTGTAGAAAAGGAGGCGAAGAAATTCCCCTAAAATGTTTTAGTAATATTATTAATTTTTTTAAAAATGATGACTTTTAAGACTCAGTCAGATTTAAGCACAAACTAAATAAGGCTGATTTAGAGCTTCAGATTATGAAGGGGCCCTCGAAATTCAGTATAATGCAATAAAATAAAAATTGCTATGCTTTGATTGCTGTGAGTTTTTGGACTGTATGGCGATGTTCCAGAAGCATTCTCTCCTGACATTTTGCCCACATCTATGGCAGGCATCCTCAGAGGTTGTGAGGTCTGTTGGAAACTGGGCAATGGTAAGAACACTTTTCCTTACCATACAAAGTGTACTTACCATACATCAAGGGAACCATTGACAGCATAGGGAAGCTGATGAAATAACACAACCTACAAACTATATACAGATTCACTAAAAATCCAACAAATGCTACATTCAGCAAAGGACAAGTGGGATCCTCTCACCTCTGCAGGAGTCTACCGTATACCATGCACCTGTGGACAAGTCTATATAGGGACCACCAAATGCAGCATTACCTAAACATGAAGCAAGGAACATGAAAGGCACTGCAGGCTACTTCAACCAGAGAAGTCAGCCATAGCAGAGCACCTGATGAACCAACCTGGACACAGCAAATTATCTGAGGACACAGAAATGCTGGACCACTCTAATAACCACCATGTCAGACTACATAGAGAAGCCACTGAAATCCATAAGCATGTGGACAATTTCAACAGAAAGGAGGAAACCATGAAAATGCACAAAATCTGGCTACCAGTATTTTAAAAACCCTCTAAAATCAGAACAGCAAATAAAGAACAACACTCAAAAACAGGGGAATTCCAGACAAGAAACAACCAAGGCCAGATAATAACCTCCCAACAAAGGATTCCCCAGGCAGCAACCAGCCAGGCTTTGAAGCTGCGAGGCCGTTAAATGCTAATCAAGGTGGCCAATTGCAACATTCACACCTGCCTCAAACATTCCACAGATATATAAACCTCACTTGCCTAGTTTCCAACAGACCTCCTCATCCTCTGAGGATGCCTTCCACAGACATGGGTGAAACATCAGGAGAGAATGCTTCTGGGACATGGTCATACAGCCCAGAAAACTCATAGCAACCCAGTGATTCCTGCCTTGAAAGCCCTCGACAACACATTGCTATTCCTATTCTCACTTCTCCTGTTGTAATAGTTATAATCACACTTTTTGGGTACTGCTATGGTGTTTCTTAAATTGGAGAATTGCAGGCTTCGGTGTGTGTTAATTTGCCTGTGGTTATAACCAATCTGCATTTGGAAATTGTGACTGCAATATGTGTAATTGCAAATTAAGTTTAAATCTGGGTTTTTAAAAATTGTTAAAGCCATTTCCCCACTTTCATTGTCCCCTTATACCCTCCCACCTTCAATTAGTTAGGGATTTGTTTTCTTATTTTACATACTTCTGCAATCGAACACATTTTAGTATTTGAAACTGGGTCAGCTACTAACCTACACAGAAAACACAATTAAAAATGCACCTCTTTTTGATACAGCAAGGGACACATTGTTCTGCCTCATTCACTGATTCTATTTACTTTGCCTCTGAACACAAGTATCCATTTAGTATCTTTTTCTTGTTTTCATTTCTTACCTCTCAAAAAGAATATGTTAAGAGGGGTAAAGTATGGAATAGTTGAACATGGCAAGGGGTAGGAACTATGAATGCTTCCAGGTGTTGAACTGCAAATCCCAGTACTTCTCACTGTTGGCTATGCTGACTGGGGCTGCTGGGACCTGCAGTTCTACAACATCTGGAGGGCTGTGTGATTCCCAAAATGACCAAGGGAAGGTGGGAAGTGCTGCTTTTGATACTCATTGATAGTTTCTGCTCTTTCACTCACCTTCCTTCTCTCTTCCCCCATAATAGCCACAACTTACCAACATGCTTTGGTCTGAAGGTTATAAACAACATTTCTCTTTCTCTCTGTGTGTTTGTTATTGCCAGTTGGAGTGTTTTCTAACTGCTTCTTTTCATTACAGATTGAGTATCCCTTATCCAAAACGTTTGGAACCAGAAGTGTTTGGGACTTCAAAATTTGTTTGGGACTTCGAAAATTTGTTCCTGGTTTGAAAGTGTTATTTCCTGTTTAACAGTGTGGTATCTACTTTTAAAGTAGTTGTTATACTTCAGAAACATTGTTTTTGTGGCTGCCACAAACTGTGTTGAATTAGTTGAGACTCGATGAGCTATTCATTGAAAAACTATAGCAAAATACGCTGCAGGATGTTATAAACCTTTTCCATGTTTTTATGATAGAACCAAAAATTGCATTACATACTGTCAATACAGAAACCATTAGTATTTCAGGGCTGGTTGGAATCCCCAGTTAGGGAAACCAGGTATATTTAATGATCTAGAATCATAGAGTTGGAAGAGACCTCGTGGGCCATCCAATCCAACCCCCTGCCAAGAAGCAGGAAAATTGCATTCAAAGTACCCCTGACAGATGGCCATCCAGCCTCTGTTTAAAAGCCTCCAAAGGAGGAGCCTCCACCACACTCCGGACAGAGAGTTCCACTGCTGAACAGCTCTCACAGTCAGGAAGTTCTTCCTCGTGTTCAGATGGAATCTCCTTTCTTGTAGTTTAAAGAAGTTTATTTTCTTTGAAGAAAATATACATTTACATAATCCACACAGCAGAAGGAAATACAAGGCCATGCTATGTAACAGAGACTGAAACTGGATGTCCTTACTCAACAGAATCCCACCAGTCTTTGAAGGATTTTGAGCTTTGCTATTTCCATCCAAGTCTTCCACAATCACCCACATCCCCTAGGAAGCCTTTGTCTGGTCCTTACCTTGCACCTTGACTTGGAGACGCCCTTGAGTGAGGTTCCAGATGCCAAAACAGCATTGATTATGAGGGCACTGAATGGTGCCATTACGGCCGCCATCTAAGATTAAGCCATGGAGGTGTTCCAACCCATTGGTAAGAGCATCCGATCCGTAGGAGAGACAGCTACGTTTTTCAGCCATGCTTGTGTGCCATCCCTGGGAAGCCAGGACCAGCAGCCAGCCAGGCCAAAGTGAGCACCCAGACCCCATGTACTTGAACTGGGACCTGAACTGGGTAGGCTGACCGATGCCCGCTCTGGAGCCCCTCCTTCCCAGGTGGGAAGGACTTGGACCAGCTACAGCAAGTAGGATGAGACTAGCTGTTGTCAGCTAGGGATGGAGGGAGGGAGGGAGGTTGCACATACAGCCAAGGAGGAACAAGATGAATCTTTGATGGATTTTACCATTATTGCCAGCATGTTTGGGCTCACAAGAATAAAGCAGCTGCGTACATTCCGGAAAAATAACTCCCTTGCAAAAACTCAATCGTAGGTAGGCCAAGGACACCATTTCAGGTTTAAGTATTTGTGGGAGTGGAAACTGTGGGAGGCAAAGAACTGTCTGGGGGTAGAACATGACTATCAACAAAGTTTAAAGACTCACTCAGAGGATTCAGTTCAAGATTAAACTGCAAACCATACTATGTATTTCACTTGTTGTTATTCAGTGCCCAAAGCTAAATCAACTGTGAAGTCAACTGTTCCTCTCCCTCACTGTTCAGTTTAAGAAAATTACTTGTATTATTTGCATCTGCTATATATATAATCATGTATTTCTATTCCTCTCTTTTACCAGGGGGTCTGGGAAGAGAGTTTGTTTTTCTTTCAGGAAAGATGATGGCTCTGTGATAAGTTTGTATATAGAAAGTCCCAGTTTCAGCCTTCATTATACTCATAAAATCCCTATTAGCTCAGGGCTTGTTAAGAATGCCTGTTGTATGCTGGGAAGTGAACCCACTGTTCAAAGTATAGCACAGGACTATGGCCCCCAAAAAGCCCTGAAGTTTGTTATGGCCTTGCTGCCTAGTTCTTCCTTTGCCCACAGTGTTGGTTCCTCTTCTTTGAAATGGCTCTTACTGCCTGATCTAAAAGAACAACACACATAAACACAAAAGGACGTAAAATCAAAATAGAAATAATAAAAACACTTTGATAAATGCAGACATGGTACATGTGACTACAGTCAGTCAGTCAATCTGCCTGTATCTCTATATCCGCATGGGATACATTTCAAGACTACTTATGGATACCTGAAATCTTGGACAATATATAAACCCTATATTTTGACTACTAGCCGTCCCCTGCCATGCGTTGCTGTGGCCCAGTCTGGTGATCTGGAAAATAAAGTAATGACAAAGTGTTGGCTTCTAATACATGCAATTTCCTTATGCCTGTGGGTAAACAGCACTTCTTGCTGTTTCTTTGTCAGTATTGATGTGGAGATTGTCTGGTTTGCCTACTCTGAAACATGCAACATATAATTGTCCTTCTTTAGGAGTCCCTTTCAAATATATGATACTATATATCTCTCTGTGTGAATCATATATAACTATCTATGTCTTTGACTCTTTGTCAGGAGGGCTTTGATTATGTTTTCTTGCCCTGCTGAAGGGAGTTGGACTGGATGGCCTTAAGTATTTTCTGTGGTCATGGGGATTCTGTGTGGGAAGTTGGCTCCAATTCTGTCATTGGTGGGGTTCAGAATGCTCTTTGATTGTAATTGAACTATAAATCCCAGTAATTATAACTCCCAAATGTCAGGGTCTATTTCCCCAAACTCCATCTGTGTTCATATTTGGGCATATAGAATATTCGTGCCAAGTTTGGTCCAGATCCATCATTGTTTGAGTCCATAGTGCTCTCTGGATGTAGGTGAACTACAACTCCCAAACTCAAGGTCAATGCCAACCAAACCCTTCTGGTGTTTTCTGTTGGTCATGGGAGTCCTTTGTGCTAAGTTTGTCCCAATGTCATCATTGGTGGAGTTCAGAATGCTCTTTGATTGTAGGTGAACTATAAATCCCAGCAACTACAACTCTAAAATGACAAAATCAATTTTTGAGTGATGGTCGCTCCTTGGGTTAGTAGGTGTCGTGTCCAAATTCGTCCAGTGGTTTTTGAGTTCTGTTAATCGCACACATGAACATTACATTTTTATTTATATAGATGTTTGGGCTAGAAGCATACTATAAAATTACATTGGAAGTTCAAGAGAGACCCACAAACAGGTTTGGGGAAGAAGGAGCATGATTTTTTTGAAGAGAGCAAGTAAGTGAAACCATGGATATTGAATCTGTAGATAAGGTGTAATACTCTTATTACCATGGTTCATTTAAATTTGTTGCCTTATAGATTAGTTTTTTCTCTGCATGTCATCAAAAATGGAGCTGAGGTAGAGATGATATGATAGAGCAAAACCATAAATAATTCCCACCATATATTGCCCACTTCAAGATGAGGACATTCTGGGGCGAACAAGGGAGATTATAACTTTTGTGTCCACATTTTTTTTAACTGCATGCCATGTGTTGTCGTTTCAGCTCTACTACACCGTGAGTCCGAGTTCCCGGTGTGCCTGTACTCCATTCAGAAATGAGACATGGCAGAGTGAAGGCAAAGTCCAGATATTTTATTCACTTCAGCCAAAAGTGGATGTTGGAAAAAAAACCCTCTCAAATCAGACATAAAGCAATGGATACACCGACATTTATAGACTTGATAGCAATTCAAAGAATTGATTTTTGCTCCTCTAATTGGTGCAAAGTACAATTTGCATGCTGATTGGTGGAGCACCACCAACCGCTGCCACAGCTGTTTGTTTCCCTGATCTGGCAGGAAATTTAATCAACTCTCATTGCTCACTTTGACTCTTGTGGCCATTTTCTGTGTCCACCTTCTTTGGGTGTATGAGGAAAGGAATGTGGGGAAGGTCCAGGGCTGATGGGTTTTAATGGATTTAATCCTGTCAGCCGGGATCTCACAACAGGTCCGGACTAGAAGAATAAAGGATGCTAACACATCTTGATGATGACCTTTTGGACTGGCTAGGGATCAATAGTTGGCTAAGGAAGACGGTCATGGGGGTGGGGTGGTCAACTGCCCAGAGGAATGGGATTAGCCCCATGTTTCCACTGTGAGTGCTTGTACAACTGTGTATGTGGGGGAAAGGACATCAGTCAGCAGGTTCTTCTGTGGCCATCTGATCGGACCTTTCTGGGTTGTGGATTTTAGGGTCCCAGGTTTCGATGACACTTGGACTACATATGGGGAGAAAGGTTTTATTTCGTGTCAAAAGCATTGCATAAATATAAAATCGGTAAAATAGAGGAAGCACAAGAGGCTAGATAAAACAGGCAACAGCAACCACATTGTCTGTAGCTTTGAACAATTCTTCCTCTGTGCATGAGGCAGGGCATTGTGGGCAAGCATACAGAGTTGGAATTGTTTGTTCTGCTCTACAGTTGCATAAGGTGGAGAATTCTAGGTAGCGCCATGAGGAGAAAGGTGGGACATATATTAAATGAATGAATAGCCATTGATGCAGCTGTTGGGCTATAGCAGAATGAAATTGAGACAGAGAGATTATAGTAAAGGGTGTTTCTATATTTATAAATAGTGGATGTCTTTGTTTTTGCATTTTAAAAAATACAAACAAAAAGGATACAGTAGGAAGAGACAGCCAAAATTTGTGCCCTCAATGTGTTTGTTTAGTGCTGTTATTAGATTATGAACCACTCCGAGTCTGGGCTGAGAGGGACGGTATATAAATATAGTTAATAAATAAATATCCTTCCTTTAGAACTATTTCACAATATTCTTGTGGAAGAAGAATATGCATAAAGTCTAGATTGAAAAGATGTCACCCTTACAAACCCTCTTCATTTCTGGTATTTGCATCTCACCTTGGAGCTGGGTTCAGAGCGGTGTTGTGTTCTGAGGCTTATCTTAATACATGCATGCTTAGCGAACAGGAATCCTACGATGATTAAATAGTAACATTTCAGCTATGACATAAATTACAACTCTTGTTACCAGCTTTCTCACCCAGTAGCAACGGCATTCAAGTAGCTGTTTCTACAAAGTTCACCAGGTTTCCCCTCACAGGCACTTCTGTACCGCTAGTGTCAGTGAGTAGACTTTGTCTGTGTAAACACTTCTGCAGCTGGCATAACGTGAGATTACCAGCACCACTTTCCTTACTGCGGTTGGCAACATTGCCGTGTTATAACTTCCGAACGATAAAGCAGCCTCAGTGTAGACATAGCAGTTTGCCACTTCTGGTTCTCATTGGTGCCCTGCCCATGACTTCTATCTATATATACTTAGGAATGGTAAACATCACTTGAACAGCATTGATAGATCTCAAGTGGAGGTATCTATCTATCTCTTTCCATTCATCCATCTCTACGGTCAACTGAGATGCTAGTGGAAGTATATAGAAAAGTTCTACCAGTTCAAATTTTACTGGACTTGCTCAGGAAAAGGGAATCTGTAAGTCAAGATAATCATAACATCCACCAGTCTTGTTCACAGTAATGCAAAGACTGATGAGTTCAGAATCCACACATACACCATCTCTGCTTTAGCTGTTTGTTCAGTGTCGTGATTTCACGCTTTTTGCTCAAGAACATCAGTATGACACTGATAATCGAATCAAATGCCCACCTAGTTTCATCAGATGTTGGCCGATGGTCCAATGCAGTCTACTGATCCCTGGCATAGAATATAATACACAGAGCATAATTTCCTTCTATAATCCAGACCTTGTGATATTCTATATTCAAAAGCCAAGTACATAATGTGGTCTGAAATAAAAATAAGCACCATGGACTAATCTATTGTACTACTTTCAAATTCTTAAATTACTTTTTTCTGTATAGACCAGTGGCAAGACAGAGTCACCACTTCCTACAGTGTGTATTTTTTCCTATTTTGTTTTATAGTTCTATATCAATCTAGTGATTTAGCACTAGAAACTAGTGCTAAATGTCCTTATAATTTAAGGCTTCATCTCATCTCAACAGAGTGAATCACAGCCAGCCTGAAAAGCCCTTTACTCAGTCTGTCCATTGTTTGACACACGCATGTACATATACACTTTACAGGACAGCAGCAAAGGGACATCTTAGAAGGTAGTAACATGTGGTCTTTCTGGGTTATGAACTGGAAGCAAAAAGAAGAGGGGTGGACACAGTAAATTAAAAGTATAGGATTGATGGTGCTGGCTTTATGTACAGTGGCTTTGTATGTATCAGCACAGGGACTTCAATCTCTTTAGACTGCTAATCCCACAACCACTCACCACTGGTGATGTTGGCTATATCTGATGGCAGTTAACAAGACCAGGAAACACACACTTTCCCACTGCTGCTAATACTGGCTATTAACTATGTCTCAAGTGGTGCTGTTTATATTCCCCTCCTAAGATCAAATAGCATCCTTTCCATAGGAAACTAGCACATTATGCTTTTGTCATACAAAGTGACAGAATTGTGCACAATGATAAGCAATTCTGCAGGTCCACCTAGTTAGTGAGTGGCAGAATTCAGCATGGCTAGTACAGAGTTTGGATGGTTTTAATCAAAGAGCAATGTTCATATCCAACTACACACTAAGAACAAGCAGTAACTTGAACTAAAATGATCCGTTTACATTTTAAAATGTGTTTGGTGTGTTTGAAAAGATATGTGCAGTATATATTTATGTGAAAAACTGCTAGAAAACTGTAGAGGCAGAGGGCGATGTGAAGAAACTTCTGGCAATTACCAAATGTGACTTTTGACATTAGAATGCCTGATACCAATACAAGCCTTACACAACACAGTATTTCAGACTTCACCTGCTAAACGTTTTGGAGATATAAAAAAACAGTCAACGTCAGCATTGTACAAAATATGAGATGATCAACATAAAGTAACCGAAGCGACATGTGGAAATTCAAGGGAGAAGTTTGAAGCTCAAAACACATATCACAAAAACAATTGTGCAAAATGGAAAAATGTAGACAATCCATTCGGCCAGCCAGATTAAATACAAGCTCTGTAGATACTTGTTTATTCCTTTCATTTAAAAAAACTGTAATCAGTATACAAAGGAGCCAAACTATTTTAAATCTTTGTACAAAAATAGCACTTTTAAAAAGTGTTTCAGACATCATTACATCGGTAATTGTTTTTTTTTTTTAAAAAAGGACATACATTATTACAAGATAAAACAGTCTTTTACACAGACAGATAAGAATTACTTTATTGCCATTGTTAACAGGTTGGCTTAAGTGTCTGCAGAATTGTGCCATGAGCACCAAGAGGATAAAGAAGCAGCCATGTTACCACGCAAGAGAATTATAAGCCATCAGAGATCATGTAAAATGCTTATTAAACATTAGCAGACAGGTTTGAATAGCAACTGGGCAGTGATCCCCCCCACAACACCCACTTCCTTTACAAAACATGCAAATAGCAAGCACACATCCTCACACCAGTGGATCGGGGGGGGGGGGGAAAGTTAATTACTGAATTCCTATTGCCCATTTATATTGGACTCTGACAAGATTAAAGCTAGAAATGGCTGTTTCAAGGCACAGAATAATAGAGAGAAATCTCCTAAGGCAATTGGCACTGGCTTTGCTATGTACAATCCGTGTATACACTGTATATAAAAGTAAAGGCACGTTTGATTCCAAAAATCATTTTTCATTCTGAAAAAAAAGCATTACAAGTAATTTAAAGAAGATATAAAGACTGTATAGATCCTATAATAGTTCTCTGCTTTGTTTTTCTTTGTAGATTTCAATTTCGGTTACAACCGAAAAGGCTGAAGTGGTAAAGCTTTTTTCTAAACTGAATGAACTTCCAGTTGCAAGCTTAACGGATTTTCTATGAATACTGTCCCTTCCACTCTTACACTTACACACCCACAGTATGCCAAATTTGGATCCCTTTCCTGGACAGGCTAGTCTTCTCAATGCATGACAATCGATCCCCTTCTCCTGCCTTCCAGTGGTTCTCAATCCGTGGGTCCCCAGATGTTTTGGCCTTCAACTCCCATAAATCCAAAAAGTGGTTAAACTGGCTGGGATTTCTGGGAGTTGTAGGCCAAAACATCTGGGGAGCCACAGGTTGAGAACCATTGACATAAAAGTAGACAAGGGGAGTTTGCCATTCCTGTAGCAAAATCCTCACCTTGAAGAGGATTTTTGGACGGGTTTCAAAAAATGATTAAAGCTTCTCAACTGCTCTGTTAACTACAAAAAAATTAGCCGAGCCAAGTTCTTTTTGTGGAATAAGAGAGCAAAAAGATGCATTTATCTCAATTGGGCAGTGCAGAAATTACAGGGAGGCATTCAAAGACCATCCCAACCAGTAGATAACCAAGGATCACTCTGTTCTTATTCTGGCACAGGCTGACAAACTGCATGACTGCAGAACACAATGTGAAAGAAAATTGATAAAGCAGGGCAGATGAGAGAAAGCGGGGTCTGCCAGTTAGCAGTGTAGATGAGTTCCTTTTTAAAACCTCACAAGCTTTCACAAGTATTGTAAGTTACTACACAACATTCCCCACCAAAGGTTTCTTGCAGTGCTTTCCTGGAAATTCCTGACCTGAGGTCGGGTGGAGGACAAGAGACAGGGTTATTGTACATTGTGGAAAACACTGCAGAGCTTATTTCCTCCGGTCTGCGGGTGGGACAGTGAGCTTACGATCTTCCATTCAGATCAAAGCACTTTAGGATCTTCCATTAAGGAAATGTGGCTGCAGATTAAGACTTCAGGGATCAAGAGACCCTGCCTGAGTAGTGGGGCAATACCAAAGTGGAAAAAGTAATACCAAATCCATTTTCACAACAGGGAAAAAAACATGAGATGCTATAGACACAAGTCATTAGTCCATATCCCACACAAACACACAAATTCAAATCAGAGCTTAAATTATAAGTACCAAAACACAGTACTATTTAACAATGGCAGAGGCAACTTGAATTTGATAAGTTCCACAGCTAAATTAACACATAACCTAGACATTTATTTTAGAAGTCTCCAAAAATGGCACTCATAAGGGTGTTTTATTCCCACTCCGGGAGTTTCTATTGCGATTTTTTGCACAATGATGGTAAAAGAGAGCCCAGGCAAAAAAAAATCTATAAGAATGGAAAAGTATGACCAGCGTTGTATACATGGACCTCCTTTTCTATAGCTCAAACCTGTGAAAGAGCATTAGAGGGGCAGATCTGTTTCTCAGGGGTAAAGGTGTATAAGACACTACTCTTTGTAGAGAGACCACTTGCCCAAACTCTGGTAAACATTTGGCATAAAGTTACTCATGGCCTATTTTGGATTTCAGTTATTACAAAAAAGTACACAGGGGAAAATAAACCAGTAGCATACACCAAGCAAGGAATGACACTTGCCACTGGCACATTTCAATGCCACTGCCACTGCCACTGCCTACAAAAGACTTAGAGATTGCTATAACCAATAAAAATTGCTTTTGTTCTTACTACATAAATATATATATACCATGACCACCTAAAAAGTTGGAAAGAAAGCAAGTGGAGAGGTTTACATCAGCAATCTTGTCCCTTCTTTACTGTTCATAGTTTAATTTTTCTGGCCTGCGATCACTGGCTGGAGCAACAATTACAAGCCAAACAATACTGCGCTTTAAGAAACATGAGGATTCAACAAGAGAAACTTTTTGGAGAAGTAATATGCAACACAAATACTCTTGTGCCCTCTAGTGGGTTTGGGATATTTTTCTTACTCTTTCAGTTCCCTGCCCACCGTATATGCTTATTTTAGGTTGAGGAGATGTCTTTCTTTAAAAACTGAAAGCCAATTAAAACCTGACTTCTAGTCTAGATTCTTATTTGTTTTAGAAAATACATTCCTTAGTCTTAAAACAGCCCTGAGGGAGACGTGTGTTCCTGCACTCTAGAGGCTACATTGGCGCTTTTTGTTTAAAAATAAACCCATTTTGAAGATGTCTCTCAAAATGGCCTTGAGGGACACATCCAGCTCTGGGACAAAATTGTATCCACCCCAGCATTAACCCGCTTCCTACTGCATGCCGCACAATGAAAAGTCCACACACTGCTTTTTTGTTAAAAAAAAAAAAAAGAAACAATGTACAGATTTAAAGAATAACAAGTGTACTTAGCCGTAGAAAATATGCATGGGAAACATAAACAAAACAGGATGAGTGATTAGCATAGATCTGATAAGTTTCACACTGTTGCTTATCATGTGGTAGGTAGCTTAATCTTACTTTATTCCCTCCACCAATACAAAAATATTTGTGCTCAGTCATCTCAATATCAACACTGCTACCTTTTCTTTGGCGGAATCCTGATACGCATAACTGTAAATGAAGATGTAATGCTCAAAATAAATGCAGCGACTTGTGCTTTTGAAATCCACATTTTTGGATCAGCTAACTTTAACCCGACTAACCACAAAGTTTTACTGTGCAGAAAGTCTTGCCTCTGAAGGAATCTTGGTTCAAACTATCACTTCCTTGGCTAAACCATTCCTTGGTATGTTTGGTACCAACAGAACTTTTATTGAGAAAAGTGTTGGTTAGTTTAATTAGAGTAGGCCTCTTTAATCAATTGCTATATGATGAGTTAACAAAAAATAAGTCTTACTGATTCAGTGGTCTACTGTAGTTAGGAGTGGACTAGACAACAGTAGAATTTGTATCACATTTTCTCAGATCTGATCCAGCAAAAACACCAAGAAATTTTCAAGGAACAATTTCCACTTTTCCCACAACAATGTGGCAGAACAATTGAACAAACCTTGCCATTACAAATATCAACAATCTTTCTATTAATGAAAGTCATTAAAACGTGTATAAAGCAATACTCGCATTTAGTTTTCTTTGAAAGCGGGGTCAGGTTTTACAGGCACAGTTCCCAATCTTTTAAAATTCACTGGATATTTATTGCTAAATTTCACAGAATATGTCACGCTCATTAAAAGTTTTTGATACCAGTTCATTTCTAATTCAGGAATTTGTTGAATATGTGGAAAGGAACGTGTTGCTCTGAGATGGGCAACTGTAACTTTCTAGATGTGGATGAGCAGCCAATGGTGAGGAATAATGGAAGACATAGTACAGTAAGATCTGAAAGGCTAGGCATGTTTCTTTACTCTGATCTAATCAGAATTTTTCACCAGTAACAGGACAAACTAGAGGACATCAGGATACAAATGCCTCCTTTTTTATGTTGGTATCAAGCCTTCAATTTATAAGAGCCCTAAAACTTCACAAGCACACGGCACATTCCTTTTCTTGGTTATTTCCCCACCCAAAACCTGCATGGCAAAACAATATGATCAAACCAAGAGCATGCTGAACAGCAGAGGGGAGGGGCGCTAAGTTTCACTCCACCTTCATATTCCTTTTGAAGCAATTGAGCAGAGCTCATCTTCACACTTTTGTCTCAACGAAATCAAAACCAAACAAACCAGGTCATTCACTCCCACTGCAGAACTCACTACACCTCAAATCGTATCACACTTTGCTTTCTTTTTATATGACATTTCATTTCATGGAAGATTTTTCTTTGGAAGACAGGAAGAAGTAGAGCACCAGTTTTCTATCACAAACACTGATTGACCCATTTCAGTAAATACGGCAGACCAAATTTCCTTACATCTGAAAAGATTATGAAAATTCTGCACAATGCAAGCCACCAGGAGCCGACTAGCAAAAGTGAATGCTAACATTTAATTCTAGTGAAATTCTGAGGAAATGTAGTGGAAGAGCTTATTTCCTCCTATCTGCTGAAAAACTTGTTCTGCTTCTGCCTTTGAAATCACCACAGTTGGTATCAAAGCCCAATGACAGAGACGTTTCCATGAAGGAGAAGGGCGGTCCTGTGAAAGACACCAGAAGAAGTAAAAAGAGATGCTGGAAAAGGAGAGCTGTGAGGGGCAGCATGGGAGGGGAGCTATTAGGCAACTAGTTTTTTTCATTTCTGGTTCAAGAAATGTATAGTAGTTCCTTCAAATCTAAACTTTCTTCTACATAAAAATGCATATTTTTCATGTAAGAAGACTTTTAAATTTCTTGAGGTGGACAGTCGGGACACAGTTCTGCTAGAGTCCAGGAATAATACATTCCAAAATATTAAACTGCATTGTCTTTTGTGTGCATATTAATTTTGCCAATCTTGAGTCAAACGTACTCAAGGAATCTGGTCCATCACCAAAGGAACTGTCCTTCCAGAGCAATGACTCAATGCATTTAGAAGTAGTCAGGAAAGGATGTTGTAATTCCTTTTTTATATATTCTGAGTGAATGGTAGAAGGAATGTGATGTATAGCCACATGGCAGATGAAGAAAAAGGTCTTCATCATGGCAGATGAAGAAAAGGGAGAGAACTAGCAACTAACTACAGTATCTATTGCCCAGATGGAATGGCTCTGTGGAAGGCAAGGTTGGATACCCTGCAGTAGAATTTGAATCTCAGTCTGTGTCGAGAGGTAGTAATAGCAGAATTTAAGGACAAGGCAGTGATAGTGAGAAAACCAGGCTACCCAACCAAGCCATACACTATTCATCCTTAAGAAGGGTGTCCTCCAATGGAGGCAAATATCTGCTTTGTTTTCTAAATGCACAATGAATACTGTGAGGTCAGTGCTACCAAACAGTTTTTGCTGTTTTCTTTCAATATTTAAGGGAAGGCATTTTGCTTCATCTGGGTTAGCTGTCTTGCTTTAACTAACAATTCAACAAGAGGTGGCAGAAAACAGAAATAATACAGTACCACCAGTACTGATCCACACACAGCAGATACTGTGCTTTGAGGGAGACTGTCAAGAGATCTGTTTAAGAAGATCATACTCCTTTTTATACCACTATGCTAGCATTTGAGCATTTTGATTCTGATGCAAGGTAATATCCCACAGATTGCATTGTGCAAACAGCTGTGCAAAGTGATTGAACAACCAGACAAGCAACCACACTGGAAACTGGTTGGTACAAGCACCAACTTTCATTTCAGTAGGGTTACACTGAATTTAGACAAGCCAACAAACACTGTTGGGGGGGGGGTCAAACTTGTGGCCCTCCAGATGTTTAGGCCCCCCAACTCCCAGAATGCCTAGCCAGCTTGTCCTATGGCCAAGAATTCTGGGAGCTGAAGTTCAAAGCACCTGGAGGGCCATATGTTTGACACCACTGTTCTAAGACAAGCATGAGCAATTCCCAGCAGTCTGGGAGTCCCACCTCCATGCATGCTTTCCTGAATTCCTTTTTTAAAAAAAAAAAATAGAAGGCCCCTCATGCCATTTAAAATATGCCAGGGACAATTTAGCCACATGTTTCCCTTCCTCTTGGAGGCGGCAGTGGAGGGTGTGTGTGTAAGGGATTAAATCAGAAGTAAAAGGAAATAATTTCTTTGTTTTGCAAAAAGGCTCTGCAAGCCTGTCTATGTTCTCTGTAGCTAGCATGAGGAGCTTTTGAAAGTAAACTAAAAGTGGAAGCGCTAAACCAAGGCCTTGTTCAAGTCACTCCAAGCAGCACTCTTACTCTCCATCCCTTCCTTTCCCATTATTATGGCCTTCACACATTTGTCTGCTGTCTGCGAGGACCACCAGCATCTCTCACTCACTTCATCCATTTCTTTATGCAAGTGTGACCACATGGCTACACTATCATGAAGGAAATGTGATAGCTGGAAAGGATGACGGTGCTGAAAATTAATTGCAATCTAAGAGCACCTTAGTAATTCATCTACAAGGGAAAGGAGGCCTGCTAAGCCCAAGTCAGGGTTATTTGGCTCAGCAATTTAACTGAATACTGAGCAAAACCAAGTTGAATATAATTGGAGAAGTGGTAGAGTGTTTTAATGCAAGGCATCAGCAGGAGCTAACCCCACCCCAGGTCTTATACAGCCACAGTATTTTCCTATTACACACACAATAGGAGCCAAAGCTCTAGATCCCGTTTTCCCCAAAGTAGAAGCTTCGATAGTTGGACTTCCAAGACATATTCTAAAGTCCATGCCTTAATCCTCACATATACAACATATTTGGAAGATCATCAACTGCACATATACCAAGTCACTTAAGTTTTCTGTTCCACTGCAGGTTATATCATACTTTATATTAGAACCTGGAAAAGGGAACATTCTTTCTTTCTGGTGACAAACTCATAGCATCTGAAGACCTAGAAATTTCTGTCAAAAACTAACAATGTCAAATTACTCACTTCCCTTGCTGTCCCTTCCCTCCTATAAAATTAGAAAATGCTATGTATCATGGACACTTATTATTCTGGCAAAAATGGCTAATGGGAAACAAATGTATGTCCCAAACTAGGAAAAGCAGCAATTAATGGAGAAAATAATGAAGAGAAGCCTTTTCGAGATGGAAATGGGATTTCTCTGAAATCACCGAGGATAGAGGGTGGAGACAGATAAACCTAAAAGCCAAGCATACAAAAAGCCAAATTTATGTTTTTATAGTTACAGTGTAAAATGCAATATAGCATCTGAACATAAGCCCAAGCATAGCCTAACAGCTCAAGAAATTCTAAGTTAAGGCATCAAAACGACGACCAAAACTTTGGTCACAGCAATTTTAACCTCTTTCATCAAAATGAACATATTTTATACTTTATATAATATAATTACAATAATAATAATAATATAGATTTTTTTCTCCTAAAAAGTATTTCACTGATCATATACATTTAGAAACAAGGCATGATGGCATCTGGAATACCAAACAAGAGGGTGTAAAGACTGTTATACGGGTGAAGGAACAAAAGAAAAAAAAGGAACCAAGCAACTCTGGCTGTCCCCATTTCCCCAGGACATTTGCATTAGGGCTGACCTGAAACACAAACAGGCCTAATTCTGTATTCCTGGGAGTCAGAAATGGGTTTTCAAAGGCTGGGTACTGCAGCTGAGTACCCATCTTTCACCACTTTTGTAATGAGAGACCTCACCTCTTGGACCCATGGCTACCCCAACAATCCCAAATTTGCACAATGCTGCACAGTCTACAGTGCCTCAGTATCCATTGCCACTGATGTTGATTGACTGGAGATCTGCTACTTGCATGACACTGATACCACCACTGGCGAGGCGGGCAATCCCTTCAGGGCAGATAGACTCCATGGCTACCATGTTGGTCGCAATGAGGGCTGACTGCGTTGCTGCTCCATTGCCTTCTCCTGACGCCCCTGTGTCCATGGAGACAGTGGAGACATCTACAGTCACACTGTTGGGTGCAGCTCCCTTCTTGTTTTGGTGAGTCTTGATATGCTTGGAAAGGTGATCACTCCTCATAAAGCGCTTGGGACACTCTGGGCAGGCAAATTTCTTCTCCCCTGAAGGAAAGAAGTGCATGTTACAGGATAATTCAAATCAAAAGCTTCAGGCAATCTGGAATACCAGAGAATGATACAATCAAGTCTTTAAGGACTGATCACACCCTTTCCAGCTCAAAATGCAGTAGCCACCTATGAGTTTCTGTTACGACATATGGTGAGTTCTTAACTTACGAGCCATGAACAAGCCTAGGCGCTTCAAAGTAATGAGGAAATAGTCAAAGGAAAAAAAATCCTTTGACTTCTTGCCAGTTACTTTAAATGCAGTCTATGGCTTTTATCAAATTCTCAAGAGTCCACTGAGCCATATTTGTTGTGTTCCTTCTTTTTCCAGGGGTATTCAACTTACACATGTTTTATTCAGGGGTACTTTATTTAGATTTCAATTGTTCTTCAAGTTTATTCTTTACAGAAATTTATTTTACTGTTCTGAGAACTGAGTTATTATTCTTTGTAAATCTGAACAAATCTTGGAAAAGGAATGGAATTTGTTTCTACAAGTGATAGGCAAACTAATTTCTCAAAAAGAGACTTCTGAATAAAAGCACCATGCCTGTGCATCCCGGAACCCTGGTTCAATTAGCTCTTACACTGCTATTTCCCCCTCTAACTGAACACATTTCTGAATTCCTGCTTTTGTGAAAGTCTGACATGAAAAGGGCCTCTCAGTTCTGCCACTGGGTGCCTCTGTCCACTGCCTGAACTCTGCAAAGGGATCTACAGGAGTCGCTTCCATTGTAAGGCTTGAAACCAGTAACCTATATCCTAATAAGCCTCTCTTTCTTCTCCTCTCAGTTTTCTGGTACGGATTAGTCTTTTAGGCAAAGAGCAGTGTAACAGAGTCTTATATAGACGGTTAAAGGCTATGTGACCTTGGATGACCTGTTTCTACCTTTCCATGGGCAATTGTAACAAAGGTAGAGCTTTTAGTACAGAAATATGTTTTGCAAAGTTGACATCTGAATAGTATTGATTCTTCAGGATGCTGTTATACAGTCACACGGGTTATCTGAGTCTTTCACACAAATGGAGAAAGGGTCTCTTTTCATTTAAAGCTATGACTTCCAGGCAGACTTAGTTACAAAAAGGATATGACTCAGATCTCCTTCCCAGTATCATGGGATCTTTACAGCTCTTCAGTCTACAATTCAATCAAGCATGATTCATATCATCATACAAACAAGTCTGACATCTGTGTTATTTTTTTGGCCACAATCACATCTGCAATCACATATATAATGTCTTAATAGTTTATTTTTATCCTGGCTTGATTAGTATCAAAAGTGTTACCTTGTTGTGAATTGTTTTTAAAGGTCTGAAGGAAATTAATTAAGTGTATAAATTAACGTACTTCCAAAGCATTTTTGCCTTTTAATCTCATTTCACTTTTCACCATTGTATTTCAAATTCTACGAGGTCCAGGAAGCATTCCAGTACAATCTCTGTCTCTACAAGATATGGCCCTGATAATAGCAAACCCTACTGAAATGAAGGTATTCTACCAGAAGTTACCATAAAGCCACCTGGAAAACCTAGAACATTTCTGCAGAAGGCATACATTTACTAATGTAGTTATGCAAAACTGGAGGTATTGGTCATTTAAGTACAGATGTTGTACTGACATTTCTGCCTCCTTAAAATAACACCAACAACTCTCTGTGACCAACATTTTAAATTTATATTCTTCACCCTATCACCGTGTTAGCACATTTTATATTTCTATTACATTTCACATAACTCTCCCCATATTTGTGCATAAATATTTGTCTAACTGGCTTCCCATGCACCTGAAGAAGTATGCCATAGTGCACAAATGCTTATGCCAAAACTAACTGCTTAGTCTTAAAAGTGCCACAAGACTTCTTCCTCCCTTATTTATATATGTACTTTCTCAACAGCAGTAATGTTGTTTGTCTTGTGCATACATGATTAGAAAAGGGTTGCCAAAATTTTGGTGCCTAGGGAAGGCTATTAAATGTATAACATAGCTGGCAATAGGGTCAAAGGATTGTGTAGATCAGTGGTTCACAGCCTGTGGGTCCTCAGTTGTTTTGTCCTACAACTCCCAGAAATCCCAGGCAATTTATCAGCTGTTAGGATTTCTGGGAGTTGAAGGCCAAAACATCTGGGGACGCACAGGTTGAGAATCAATGGTGTAGATCATTAAAAGTGCACAAAAAGTAGAAGGGGTGGGGGAACTATTTGACACAGTCATGTAAGTCATGAAGAGACAATGGGCAGGAATTAACAGGTATTACTTGAAGAATCAATTACCAGTAGGCAACCCATTCTTCTTCTTTGTGGTCTCTGTCACACACAAATGAGAGACTAGCACACTACTAACTATAGGAGGGGGGAGCATGATGCCGCTCAAGAAAATATCACAGTCCTCTCCCAAATGCAGTTTTGCCTGAGACCTTGCACCCAGTGTAAAATGAAAGCCAAAGGCTAAAATAAACTCTAGGCCTTGATACAAACTGTAGGTTAATCCAAGCTACTGTTATTGCTTTCTGGTCTGTATGAAATACTTGTACATACCTGTATGTGTCCTTTTGTGTCGCTGCAATTCATCGCTGCGTGTGAAACGCTTGCCACAATACATCCAAGAACACACAAATGGCCGTTCCCCAGTATGCCACCGAAGATGGGCTCTCAAGTGAGATGTTTTTCCATACACTTTCCCACAGCCTGGGATGTGGCAGATATGCTGCTTCTTTTTGCCTGGATCTCCGGAGTTCCTACAAATAGCAAAGGAACTGAAATCAGAGCCGAAAAGATTAACAGGTTTGTTAAATGTCTGCCTCGCCCTGTGGTGAGAAAGTGGAAGTAGTAGGTTTATTTTTTTTTTAATGTAAAGACTACTTGTGATATGACAAAAGGAGTTTTCTTTAGAGGCAAAAGATCTCCATATGTTTTTGACCAGACAGAACAACCCAATTAAGAACATATTTTATATATTTAATTTAAGGACAACTATGTTCTTCAATGAAGTGGTTGATCTAAGACAGCGAGTTGGAAGACTTCAGGTTAACCAGATGTATATTGTTAATAAACCATTAAGATGTACCAAATATACAGGAAATCCCCAAGTTATGAACAAGATAGGTAAGTCGGAACAGGTACATTTTTAAGTGTAACTCCAGCTCTCTCTGTCTCTCTCTCTATAAGCTTTGGGTAGCACAGGGAAGGTGTAACATTCCGTGGTGTTTGCTTTGCTGTCTGTACCCCTATTCAGAAGCCTTCACTTCACTTTCTTTCCCTATGATAACTGGATTTTGAAAAATATGGATAGTTGTGAAAACAAGGATAGTTGTGAAAGTTTCAGTTGAGACTTTTCCCCATGATAACTCTTTCAAGAGTGAATCTCCCTTTTGCAGGGTAGATTTCTCCCAGTTCTTGTTGTTTCACCCCTATTTGTAATTGCAATTCATTTGTAAATCCGGTGTTTGTAACTCGGGGACTGCCTGTATTTCTAATTAAAGAATTCTGAATCTTTATCTGTTTTAATTACTAAACTATGGAAAATACAGTTCTTTTATATAAAAATGTATTCTTAGTAACATACACTTCAGCTTTCTTTGCCAAGAGATATAATTTAGGACTGGGGGAGCAATTTGGTTTTTTTCAATGTTAAAACAACTTGCAGATATCCTTACTGAAATCTTCATGCCACTGATAGGCCTATCAGTATATTACAGTTACCAACACCAGACCCCTGAAGATGCTTTGTTCTAAGGATGTCCAGTTCTAAAACACTGGAAACACAATAAATTCGAATTAGCAAGCAGCAACTTGAGGCAAACATTGTCCTTTTGGAGGGGCATCCCTATTTCTGTCCAATTTTAAGAGCCATTTTTAGTCATTCTTAGGAAGCATGGTTCCAATGCACACTTTATAATAAAAATGATAAATCTTTATATCCCTCTTTTCTCCCTCATGGAACACAAAGCAGCTTACAACATATTAATGTCATACAAACAATCCAAATACATAAATCCAAACCAGTAAGACAATAAATAATTACCAAAAAACAAAATCTTAAAATGAGCAATTTAAAAACAAAAATATACATTCACATGACATCATGTCAGGTTATATTTTTAAAAACCATGGAATAGCTGCTTTCAAGTGACAGCCTGAAAAATAATGTGTAGTCACATAACACCCTCACAGAATCTACCTAGTAGTAAGTAAAGTGAGGAACCAGTCAGGCAATGCTCCCAGGCTCTGGAACTTTCTCCATAGAGAGATCAATATAGCTCCATTCCAGCTTGTCTTTTGTTGGCAGGTGAAAAGGTACCTCTACCATCAGGCATTTAGGGAATGGTGAGAGGCAGACTGCTGAGGATAGTTTATGAGTGCAATTTTGGAAGGCTGTGTAATTTTAAAAATGTAGTATTAATGTATTTTAATATTTTGTGCTCCGTGACACAAAATATTTAATTTTTTATTTTTATATTCATATTTTGATGCATTTGCTCTGTTTTTAATTATACTGTGCATGTTTGTTGTTAGCTGCCCTGAGTTTCTATATTGAGAGAAAGGAGGGATAAAAACAAAGTAAATAAATAAACAGCCCTTCCCAGGTATCCTCATCCATACAAACTGTAATAATTGCTGATGGGAGAGAGTTTGTTTCCATCCACAAGATAATAAAATAAGTGAACAAGAACTCTCATATTTGTCCATTCAAAGCATGACTTGTGGAGTGTGTCTTGCTGAGAGTTAAACTTTAGATGAATTTTTCCAGAGATCCCCCAAATGTGCCTGAAAGGTGGGAGGTTCCATCTCCAAAATTCATCATTACAAGAAGCCCAATTTGTTGAATTTTAGCCCACAGAAATGAGACAGTCTGACATATTAGCATTACATCCCAATTTAAGTCGTGCTTTGAAGGCAACAACATGAAATTAATGAAGCCAACATTAGTCATGATTAATTTGGATCCCTTTAACTTTGGTAGGTGAGCATAAAGGATGACTAAAGGAGCTATAATAAGACCTAGCAGGTTGTTTATTGGAATGACTATGGATTATTAATCCAACAACAGCACATGGTTGGAAGAATATATATTTATGGCGGTGGCAAACACCAGACTTGGAGAGTCACAGAACACTTTGGATGCATCTACAGTGCATGCAAATTAGCAAAGGTCAGCAAACCTTTCTCCTAAGGGTTTTTTTTTTGGTTGAAAGAATGCATGGTAGAGACATCAGGTCTCCTGTGTCCAGAGAGTAAAACCAAAATTGAAAAGCTGAGTTTATCATGCAGGACAGTGCCGTGCCGTGTAGAACTAATTGATGAGGACATAGCTAACCAATTAATTTTGTTTAAAAAAGTAGAGTCGTTCATTCACTAGCACTGGATGAACGTATTGACTGAAAAGACACTGCTCAGCTCTTAATATTCACAAGAGGAATTAATGACAATTTTGAGATAAGAAGCAAGTTTTGATCATGGAAACTCCAAAGGGGAAAACACAAGGACAGGACTTGTATGACAGCCAGGCCTGTCTGTCAAATTTTAAAATGCAATGTGGCCCATGTCAAAAAGTTTGCTCATGCCTGCCATAAAGGTCCCATAAAGGTATCATATCCCATATGATCCTGGAAGATCAGCAAAGTCAACCTTGATAGATGCATGGATGGGACAATGCCAATGTGTATCACGTCCTGCAAGCTATTATTTCAGATGAAAGAACTGGCAAACTCCGCTATAAGTCTTCCTTGACTAAGAAAACAGTATGAAATGTATGGGGTTGCCAGAAATTACATTTGTTGTACAGGGAACATCTACTTTAAATATCTAGATCTCATTTAGAATTTCACATTTCTAAATTAGAGGCTCCTCAGGATAACTTGTTTTTGTTATGAACTTGAATTCAAAACATGTGGGTGACAAATTCTGAAAGTCGCTGTTGTACACAATCTTACCTTCCTTCGCTGTCTTTGCAGTAAGGACAAGTGCATGCTTCTCTGCGTGTTCTTCGGCCTTGCTGCGGCTGGGCATCTGGACTGGTGTCGCCTTCTTCCAGGGTTGTTGTATCTTCTCCCAGACCATCACCACCAGTACCATGAAGACTGAGTTGGGTGTTATGATCACCTAGGAGTGAAAAAAAAATACCACTATGAAAATGGCTACACAAATCAAACCAGAGTAAAAAAAAAAAAAGGTAAAACCTGAAAAATGACCAATACATTTTTTTGGCTTTTGCAATAGCACTTTACACTGTAAAATTGCACAGAAGAAAAGTAGTAATCATATCATATTCTGGAGTACAATTAAAAAAGGAATCACATCCTTCACACTACAACTAAAGCACAGATTACTCAAGGTGGCCAAGATGAGGAGGGGATGGAGAACTCAAAATCTTAAGATTTTGAAATCAGAATTATTTTATCTTATGTGCTTCCTGGAAACATGAAACATCTCACTTGAATGCAAATATTTCCTCTACAACACACATACAAACACGCAAAACAAATTAAGAATAAGAATCAGGAAGACAGAGCAAATGTACAATGGATGACTAATTTGATTAATGCTATTTAGATGAGTAGTAATCATGTCCTTGCTCAAAGGCCTCTACAATTTCTTGAAATTTGTTATTTCAGAACTTGCATTCAGCACATTTGAAAAGAAATTAATAATTTACTTATTCTCAAATTTTATCTTTTTAAGATGAAGAAGTTGTTCTTTAGATCTTTGTCATACCAGGTGCACTGTGGGACATGATAATGCATTAACCGTTTATTGTAACAGCAATATACTGGGGCTAGCCTCAGGTGTTTATCTCTTGGCATAGCTATAGAGTGCCGCAGCTTTCACTTCCAGTTTTGAATAACCAGTTTGGAGCATATCTGAATCTTATGCTCTGGTTTAACATTACCTATAATCTGGGGAAGCAACCATAACAGAGGAAGAGGGTTTCAGAAGGTACACAGTCCTTTTACACAAATTCATTTGGACATCATAGTAAACCTTGCTTGATTAATTATCCCAAGCCAACACAATAAACTGCAGTTTATAATTTTAACAGAACCATGTTCTGTCCTTACAAATAATCTACACTATATTTTGAGCTCTACACAATCTGTTCAACAAGACTGAATTGCAAAGTCTTCTCCATGTATACTGCTCATTATCATTTTTTTTTGTTAAAAGTTTTTTGGGAACTTGCAAAATGCTGGGATTAGCAAAAAGAGTATTGTCAGACTCTGAAGTATCTCTTAGTTTGAAATGATTGTAGAAGCACCCAGGGAGGTACAGAACAGATGTGAACCAACCTAGCAATAAAGTGAGGAAAAGCAATAAATACAACAGGGTGGGAGAGACAGTAGTTTAAGGAATGCTTCTCTCTTAACAAAGATATCAGATTTTGAGGGGTTTTGGGAGCCTGCTAGCTGGGTAATTACCGTGATCACAGAAAGGATATATAAACTTGAAAAATTGTCTGTTTACAGGCTGTGCACCACATTGTATTTTACTTTTTTACAAAAGCCAATATCCAATTACAAAAACCATAGGAATTATAGCACAGCACTGATGAGTTTCAAGTGCAGGCAAGGATATAAAACATTTCATAAAGGGAAGGGAATACTCCTGGAATGTGAAGCTTTCAAGTCTATCAATTTTTGTTTCCTTTTTATTGGGCTGTGCTGATGCTGTCATCTAATTGCTTCTTCCATAACTTCCAGCTACACTTCCCAAATAGTTTATTTCCCCACAAGCTTCGCTATTTGATTATATTCATGGATTGAGGGAAGCCCACAGAAATCGTAACAGATGTGAAACACAGCAGGCTGAGCAATCTGTTTGCAGAGGCAATTAGCATATGCCAGTAGGAAGGTCCAGTGCATGTCTTTGCATCTGATTGAGGCATACGTAAAGCCTTTGGGACTCTCACAATCATTATTACATGGTTAAATGTTGCTGGATGGTTTCCATTTAAAAGAAGATACATAATCATTCTTTAAAGTCAAGATAGGTCATTCTTGCAGCGCAAATGTTCAAAATATGGAACAGGTCAGTCCCTGTTTGTATGGGATGGTGCAACACTGGAGCAATGCACTAAGGCAATAGAAGGCAACCTGGTCCAGCCACCCCCAATGTTCAAGACTACAGTTCTAACAAACTCAAGTGACCCAGGAACTTTGGAATGGGACATAATGTTGTCTCATCATGCACCTTGATCCCAGATCAGAACAAAACTAAGCAAACCCCATCTCTAAAGACATCTGCATTGATTCTGTTGACACTTTGTTGATCACTAATTACTAATTCATCACTAATTTTCACTAATCAGATTAAAAGTTCGCACAACTACAAGACCAATAATGGATGATGTTGACACTCTCCAAAAGAATTAGAACAACCGCTGGCTTGAAGAGAACAGTTGAAAACAACCGTAAGGATATGTAACTGAAGACTGATATCATGTCTATCTCTCCCAGTTTTTAAGTATTTGAGAAAAATGCACATCAACACACAAAGCTATTTGTGTGTGCATGAATGTGTACACACACATATACACAAAAATATATTTAGACTATTAGTTACTATGGGTAAACAAAATCCCAGTTGCCTTTAAAGTGCAAATGAATCACTTACCATGAAAGACACAACATTCAACAGCTGAAACCTATTTCATTTAGCAATATAATGCTGGATTCATCATTCAAACAAGGATGAAGATAAGTTCTGCTATAGCAGGGCTGGGCAAGTTGCATGTAGTGCCCGGGTTAATCTCTTTTAATGGTGTGTTCCAGAATGTCCTAAGCTGCACTCCAGGGGAATCTTTGGGTCTTGAAAAGTTCAGAAGCAATTTTTGCAAAACCGAAGGGTTTGACATTTCAAGGTTTCTAAGGAGGCAATGTTATTCCATAACCTTGCACAATTGCCCACCCTTATGCTATATTATCAGCCTTTTTTTTAAAATGACTTATCTTTGTTCTATCCAAGCAGCACAATAAAATGGGAATGAAGTGGTAAAATAAGCTATATACTATGAATCAGCATGGATTGGGGCGAGGTAGAAGTTGTATATCAAGAAATGAAACACTGTACTTTGCTATAGCTGTAGCTGGTGCTAGTTAAATAAACTGGATGGGAAATTCTCAGAGAACAGCCTAGTGTTTTATTCTAGAAATGTCAATTTGGGGGGGGGGGGGGTGGACAAAGGAAAATTAAAAACTATGCATGATGCAATTAAAACCATAAGAGCACCATGGCAAACTCCAACTGAAGAAATCCAGCCAAGAACATCCTGTGATAGGGTCACCAGAAGTCAGAAACAACTGGAAGGCACAGGGCAACTTAATCCTAGTAAAAAAACATATGTGTTGTTCGCCTTTCATAAAAAACAACACCGCAACTAAAAGAAATTATGGAAAGGATATTTAAAACATACCAATCATGCTTTACACAAAGTAATCCAAGTGCATGTACATTTGTAGCTGGGCACCACAGGCATAAACACTACTGCAGCAAATGAAGAGTAACTAGAGAGCTGGCAGTAACATACAGCAATTACAAAGCAATTATTAGCTACAGTTTGAAAGACGACAACTCAGTATGGAGTAAGTTAACACAAGATGGCACCAGCGTGGCAAGAGGCGTTTAACTAAGCTCCAATATTTTTCTTTCTTGCATTATTCCACTCTAATACCGCCTCATTTTCAAATACAAAGTAAGGACTGACTTATAATATCTAATATGACTGTCCAGATATACATATTATATGCCTGCTACTGCCCATCTCTAGGTATGGGATACTCCTTATATACAAATTTAAAGTAATATATTTTGACACAAACAGTTTTTTTCAGTCAGTTCAATGGTTAATTTAACCACACGTTTACATGGGGAAGGGGAAGCACTGAAACAGTTTCTAACAAATTAAATGCAGTTAGCTTTGGGCAGAGAATACAATGCTTCCATTTAGTTAGGCTAGGATCAGATCTCAGTACCACTGACGCCAATGAGACTGAGATGTTGATCCTTAAGATATGTTAGTAGCCTGGGCTCTTTTATATCTAATTTTATACAGTTTATTACTTGCAAAAATCTATTCACATTCAAGTGATCTGGCTTAAATTGCCTTTGGATAGGGTTGGGAATTTATTCAAGATTCTGCATTACATTTCTAACACCAGACTAAGACGACCAAAAAAATCTATGGTATCTAGACTACTCAAAACTTGATACCAGCCTCTAGGAATACATACAGACAACAAGGCAGATTTATTAGGATCATACAAACTATTTGCATTTTATATCATCATTTGCCCCACTTTATGTTCCTGCATTAGATCCTCAGTTCTCTTTAGTAATTTACTTTTGAACTGCTGTAAATTTCTTATAATAATGGCTGGCAGCAATCAGTTATGCATGAAATGTAGTATCTTTACAAGCCCAAGCATGCTGTATCCTGATGTCCAAGCTTCAGCATTTGCTCTGCAAGCAGGGTGACAGGAATTTTGCATCGCTGTTATCTAACTCTTAGCACTAAAGTAGGACAACTAGCAATCTCTTACACACAACTTTATCCTAATGCCTGTAAATCTAGGCAACCACTAATGTCACTTTCACAAGATTCTTATTAACCTAGTCTAACAATATAAGCCTAATGAAGGATCACATTATTCCTAATTGTAGAACTAAAAGGACCTCAAGCAGAAGCACTGTACTCCTTGCACGGACTTCAACCTAAATCAGTCCCAGCTGGGCAAATAGTAAGGCCTATAGTGTTCATGAGAGCAACAGCTGTCAAATCCTGTCCATGAACACAATCCATGTCCCTAGCAGATGGTAGCTGATGACAAAATACTTAAAGATTTAACTGCAACACTAAATAAATATTTTGCCTTTATTAGGCAAGTACCATATTAAATTAATGCATATACCTTTTTAAAAAACAATTTACCCTATAATTTCAAAATAAACAATAAGCCTTTGCTAGATTTTCTTCATTTGTCAACCTTAATTAGCCATACAATAAGGCCCTCCTTGTAACCCATGCCCACAGTATTAACCCATACCCAACAAAAATGAAATTTCCTGACAATATCAAGGATTCCCAGAGGTTAGCAGAAAGTTGAGTT